ACAGGAGCAGTAACTGAACAGAGACTGGAAACTGAAAACTGAAACTGAGGCACAGACGAGCCCTCATACATATGCAAATGCAGCTGGCTGTCTGTGTTCGCTTTTGTTTATTTGATTGGACGTTGAAGCTGGCTGTGGAAATGCGATTGAAAATTCAGTGGCCAAAGACAGCAGCTGCGGATTTATTTGGCTTATTGCACAGGACGGGGCCATGTTTCTACTTAAATGTTTGGTAGGATAACAACAAAAATAAAAAAATTAAAAATAAAAAGAAAATTAAAAAATAAAGCAACTAGGTTCTACCGAGATTTGAACTCGGATCGCTGGATTCAGAGTCCAAAGTGCTAACCATTACACCATAGAACCGGATGAGGTCCGCGTAGGAAAATTAGTGCTTTGAAAGAGGCCAGGAAAATGAATAAAAAAGCTCTTTACTATGGGATAAAAATAGATACTATTTATTAATCTAATTATATACATTTATTAATATAATTATGCAAGCTCAAAGTCTGTCGTTTCGATCTAAATTTCTTATATCCAAATCAATAAAAGTTCTTGAAATTTAAACAACGCAACCATCTTCCATTTTCCAACCCATTCCCATCTTCTACTATGTTAATTTTTTTTATTTTTATAAACGCTAATTACTGCTGGAAAATGTTTAGGAGATACTAGACAATAATAATTTTTAAGCATAATTTTTGAAATTTTGTCTTCATATAATCAAAACCGCATGACAGAGTAGTTGTTTTCAGAGCGATAGTTTATAATGCAAACTGTAAAAATACTTAAACTTGGTTTCACGATTAAATTGATTTAATAATAATAATTTATTTTAATTTTTTTATGTAAATAATATATTCCTCTTTAATTAATTTTATCGGTTAGTTGAACCGTCATCGCTTGTCCTTACAAACAGTGAGAGTGTCAAAAAGTACTTGCTTCCTTCGAAATTTCCATTCAGTTCCTTTGTTTAGATTTCGAGGGCGTATCGAGCCAATTATATGCAGTTCAGTTTCATCCCCAACGCAATATTTGTGGACCTGTCTTTGTGTTTGTGTCGCACAATTAAACGGAGCTAATTAGCCAAACACTTTCTGCGCTTACCCCCACGATGATGATGAGGATGATGATGCCCCTCCGTGCGACTTGTTGAAATGCCCAGACACGTCCATAGCTTTGCTTACCTCTAGTTTGAATGGGACTGAGCGTTATTTTTATGTAAACGCTAAACATATATACTTATGTTGGGGTAAAGTCCTTATATTCCTACACCCTCCGACATTATTATCACATCATTTGCATGCGTTTAGTGGGGGGCGGTGGAGGGGACACTGTGGAACCTTGGGCAGCTCAGGCGAACGTAATTCGATGCCAACTTTGATGACGACAATCTCATTAACATGACATCGGGAATCGGGTTCGTCGGGAGATGTGTCACATACAAAGTCGGGAATAAAATCGGAAAGACAGTTTAATGATAGATGTTCGCTTTATGCCCGACGCTTGTCTGCTGTCGCCGATATAAACAGCGATTTCGAATCGAATTGCGCTTGTCTTTTCAACACGAAATGCAATTGCAATCATCATCACCAGCTACTCTACTTTAAGACAATTACTTTACACAACTCGACATTTTACACTAAAGCGTTTCGAAAAGCTTTCTTTTCGCTTCGGGGTTTGGTAAATGGATAAAGCTGTAAACAAGTTCTTACAGTCTCTTCGAAGAGAATTCTTACAGTGCGCCAACGTTGTAGTAATAAGCTAAAATTTTATTTATTTTTTATTTATAACTAATATCTACTATAACTATAACTACTGCTATACTAAAATATCTACTAAATTTGTCACAAATTTTAAAATGTTGTGTTCCATTGACTTCCATTGGTATCCCAGATTAAAGCTTTAATAAAAGTTATCGGAAAATAATATAAACAATTTTTTTTTCTGCTTTAGATGCAAATAAACATGCATACAGTCTGTGCTTTAATATAAAAATATTTATCTTAGTTTCATTTTATTAAATTTATAATGCGAAGCTATTTTTTTAAGATAAGGTCTAGTCGGCTTCGATTTGATAAAGATCAAAAGCGCGACTTTAGCCAATAACAACAAAAGAACTTGTCAATAGTCAAGTAGCGGCTGTGGTTACGATTGTTCCATTGGCGTTACCATAAACAAACCCTATACCTATATTATAACTTTGGAAATTCGAAATATAAGACATTAACAGATAAGTCAATTACGTTTCAAGATTAGAAAGTTCATTTCTTATTTATATATATTAATAATATTAGTGTTTTGCTCAGTGCACTGCTTCTATGTAATCGCTTTGATCAATCGTTAAATGTTCGAATGTTCCGCTATTATCGGTGGGTCTTTCCATTCAACCTCTCGGAGATGTGTATGATGTCAAAGGTGCCTGTAGTCGAGTCAGTGTGGTCAATAGAAACGGAATTTCTTATATGGTTAGTCAAGGGAGTTTTCCACGTTCCCTGTTATTCGGAGATCGTTTATCCTCTTCTATCATAGGGTCAACTCTAGTACTGTAGGGATTACTTGCTCAGTGAATATTTATTCATTTGGTTTTTGCCTACAAATCGCTCTATTGGTACTACAAAGAAGGATACAGATCATTCATATACATATGTAAATTCCTGAAATCTTAAATATCATAAATGGGCAACAAAGCTTGGGAGATAGGTTTAACCTACATTAAAAACGAACTTAAGTTCAGGAATTAAAGCCAGCTCTATTTCAAGAAATTCTTCGTTTCTGTCTTGTTCCCACCAAAATTTACTATATATTATAGTGTCCCAAAGGTAACTATTTTTCTTGTTATATATTTTGTGCAAAATTTAATGAAATATAATTTTCAACCTCCGGTTTGTTGTCATGGCCTAGACATTTCAGAAATATGAAAAAGTATCGCAGTATTTGTCATTAGGGATTGGACACTATCAATGATTTTGGGAAGTGGAGTGACCCGCAGGTGAAAGACCAGGGAGCCACGCGAATTTGTGGACACGCTTTCGCTAGCTGATAACCGAAAACGAGCTAAATGTTCGACTCCTGGTTCCCACTGCCCGCATTGGGAATGTTTTAAAAATAATTCCCAAATATTATCGCGCATTACGTTAGCATGAAGGCGATAAGCCTGCACTTAACAGGTCGATTTTTATATAATCTATGTGGAAATACAGGTTGCGAATAATCGAATGTACTACGTCCACTACTGGCAACTGCATTTGACGATTAGCTAGTTGTGATTTCAGAGAAGATATGTAATCGGAACGGGCTATACACACATATTAATCGGGGAGATCCTGGTAAACTGTGATTTATACGAACCGTGAACTGACTTATCTAATCGGTTGCTGATAGACCCTGGTCAATTCAGGGGATAATCAGCATTGTATAGAAATCGTGACTGGGCCAAATAAAATTTGGCTTAAGTCGGACCTATGGACGGGTGGCACTACGTCCAGAGAAGTGGCATAAATTTAAAAAGGAATTGCCGCCTTATATGCGCATACTTATGGCGACTTATGGCCTCCAACTGGTCAAGTGTTCCGTGTTTATCAGATCATAAACTGTTTTCCAGCTTGTGTAGTTCGATAAGAGTTATAACAGACCCGAAAAATGCCACCACAAAGGGAAATAACAATTGGCAACAGTGCATATCGATAGGTGGATCGCCCTATTGTTTATATAGCCCTCATATTTGTTGACGCAGTACCGATAATACCATTTATCACTCTCTCCAGTTATTTACTAAATATTTTGCTAATTTTTGTGAATCATTGCGCTATTACCATCTCAATACTCATAGCTATCTCTTTATTTTTCCGACTCGCCTTCGGATCAGCTGTTTCTCAGTTAAAATTAATTAATTTATTTAAATTTATCTATAAAAAGTTCCCGGAATGTTTGCTATCTAGGCGCCCCAGTTTGAATAAAAGGGCTTGACTCAGCTGTATTTAAAATTAGTTAATAATCAGTGCAACACCTGTTTGGTTTTGGCGGTGAATATTTTAATTGTTTTCGCGAGAATCTCCTCTTAGATAGAAAAAGTAATCCATAAAATGGTTTTCACGGTAAGAATTTACTTATCATACACTATTGCCAAGTCCTTTTACTATTGAGTTATTAAGGACGTTACGCATCTTAGTATTATAGAATATAATATAAATGTATACTATAGTGGGTAGGGAACGGAAATAGCAAGTTTGTATAACGCTGTTTTATTTTAATAACAGTAACTAAATATAGATAAAGGTCATACTTTTATACAATTACATTTTTTGGTACTCTGCTATTTAGCTTCTGTTTTTTTTTTCCTATTTTATTTATTAAAGACAAGCCTCTTTATACACAGTCTCATACGTATTTATTATATAATTAAAGCAATTAGTTTTATTAGAAAGAAGATTGGAATTTCATTTTCAAATGCGTAATATTTTAATTCTCAAAGATTAGTTTTCGATGGGGTTATCACTTACACCGCAAACTAAATCCATTACTTGCTGTAAGTTTACTAGAAATAGGATTTGCTTGCATATCATTTGTATTTTTAGTTTAATTTAACTTAATTTAATTTTTCAGTTCACTTAAAATTGTTCAAAAAGTTCTTCTGATTACGCCAAACTATTTTACAATTATTTTCATATATGTTAAATGTTGTACGTTTTAGTAAGAATCTTCTTATCATTGCCCGCACCATAGTCCCAAAAGGACCGTAAGATATTTGAGACGCTCGCTGATTAGTTTTACTATATCCCGTTACGCCCCAGCGATAAGACCTCGAACCGTTATTCCAGTGTCACAGCAACGCAGTACGGTGGTTAGAGCGAGAGCCCCGATCGAATGCTGCTGATAATAGGGGAGCAGGTAGCAGCCCCCATATCGACATCGACATCGACAACGACATCGACAACGACGGCGAAGCGGGCAGAGCGATCAGGGCCTTCGTTTCCTATAGCATCCGATCCTGAACGGCGTTCAGTTCAGTTCACGCTTCGCCTTCGTCTCTAGCGGTCGTGTGTTCCGTCGCGTCTCGAGCGAACTAGTGGGAGTAACAATAGTGAAAGACCGAAATCGATCGAGTCGCGGGCCGAGAGCATTCGCCAAGAACCAGAAACCAACAGCTCACCACCAAACCCCAAGCTAGCAACCACGTAAGTCTGCCGGAGGAGGAAGTGCCACCAGATCAATTGGAATAGTTTCTGGGCCATGTGCGTTGATTTGTTGTGTCCCAGTCTTCGTCTTCCCTGTGGGTCAGTGCACTTGCGGGCGGGTTCATTGTCATCGCCCGGCGATCTGAATTCGCCGACCGAATTTCGCGCTCCGATCGAGCCTCTTTTACATCACGGTCGAACGTTTGATTTCATTTCTCCCCTTCACTCTCTCTCGGAATGTCTGTCGCGGCGAGGCGCAATAGTGGCCAAATATTTTTAGAAGCTGTGGCCTATTATCAGTTTTGTTTTCACACGCAACTTCTGTGCGGCGAGAAGCGTTCTCGGTGCGTAGTTGGGGCCTGGGTCCCAAACATTTCCACCCAATCGTCACGCGATGACAAATGTCAGGGCGCTCTCTTGCTCTCTCTTATCGGAAAGCCGGTTTTCTATACATAGTTCTCTAGGTTCTCGTTTCGCCAATTTGGTATCATAAAACATATGGTTTATGGCAGTGTTTTGGGCACAATACTCTAAAAAAGTCTGCAAAGTTCTTCAAACTAAATTTCTCAAATAAAAAGTAGTTATAGGTCTTAAATGCTGGATTTTTGTTACCAAGATTCTGTTATTTGTAATATGTTGAGTGCTAAACTTGCTCACAGTACTCCCCATTTGACTAGCCATCTCTGGCTTAGATTACCTTATTACATAATTAGTGTTTAGCTAAATATTACTCATATATTAACATGCCACGATTGCGTGCCGCTCTGAGCACTTTTAAATATTATCAGCGGCCGCCATAACTTAAGATTCCTGAACAAACTATGTTAATGTCTCAAGTACCTCCCCTATCGGCCCCAAAATAACCGAGACGCATTTCCATTAAGTTGATAATGTCGTGCCCTCGGGGTCTTTACCTATGAATCAACTGAACCCACAGCGCCATTTAACTGTCAATCATTTATGCTGTCTATGCCAATCAATCTTGAATAACACGGTAAAACCTTAGCGAAATACGGCTAATAGTTATAATTTGCTCCCAGTCATAAACGATAACTACTTGCTGACCCTTTGGACTCAGCTGATTGTTATGTCAGCTGTTTGGGTCTTCCATTCTTAATTTTCCTGTTTATTTTGGGTCTTATCAATACTTAGTTACCGAGAATTTATTGATTAATAAAAAAAAAACACTTAAAACTGGAAAGTAAAACATTCATACATTATTGTAGATATCAGACTTACGATTCTTGGCCTTTGCACCGGGACCATAGAACCCATTGAAAAAGCAAACCATCGAAAAGCAGCGACTTCTTGATAAGAACCAGAACACGATAAGTTCTTATGCCATAATAGCAGGAATTTTCCAAATTCTAATTAACCAAATTTATATTAAAGTGAAGCCAAGTTAGCCATCGCTCTGGGAATTTTCTAATTTGTTGTTTTCGGATACACAGAAGACACTATGGTCTACGAGTCATAATCAGGTGTTGGCCATTCGCGCAAGATAAGAGCCCCTTGGGAAGGAAGCCTTGACATAGGCCAGCTGGAGTGGGGGTCTTATCTTAAACGGTGGTAAAAATAAATACACGCATGTACTTCAGTCACAGATCGTATGATTTCATTTGCCTAAGCTGGATTTCAGAGAATAGTGAAGGGAAACTAACGAAATTTTAAAGTTATTGAAATTAATCCGTCTGACCCCTTACAGACCTTCAACATGTCCTCAATTGACGCGCTCTACAACCGACCCGGGCCCAACCGCCTGCGGCATTCGGACGTCTACCGCACCACTAATCGCCAGGACGCCGTCAAGATCCGCCTGGCAAAGGAGGGCATCGGCGCCGAGGAGCCCATCTCGGTGCCCGGCCTGCTCAAGCGCACGGTGAACAACTACGGCGACTATCCCGCCCTGCGCACCAAGAACGGCAAGAATGGCTACACCACGGTCACGTACAAGTGAGTCGCGCTAATCGAATCTCTGGCCAATTTGCAATCTAATAACTAATATCCAACCCACCCCCCAACTCAGGCAATACGAGGAGAAGGTGCACCAGGTGGCCAAGGCCTTCATCAAGCTGGGCCTGGAGGAACACCACTCGGTGGGCGTGCTGGCCTTCAACTGTGCCGAGTGGTTCTACTCTGCCATGGGCGCCATCCATGCGCGCGGCATAATCGCCGGCATTTACACCACCAACTCCGCCGACGCGGTCCTGCACGTCCTGGAGAGCTCCCACGCCCAGATCGTGATCGTGGACGACGCCAAGCAGATGGACAAGATCCACTCCATCCGCGACAAGCTGCCCAAGCTCAAGGCGGCCATTCAGATCCAGGAACCATATTCTCCATACCTGAAGAAAGAGGACGGTTACTACCGGGTGAGCTAATACTTTGGGAGGAGAGTTAAGTATTGAGACTCATACCAATGTTAACCCATCCACAGTGGTCGGAGATCGAGTCGATGAACGTGAGCGACGTGGAGGAGCAGTTCAAGACCCGCCTGGAGAACATCGCGATCAACGAGTGCTGCTGCCTGGTGTACACCTCCGGCACGGTGGGCATGCCCAAGGGCGTGATGCTGTCCCACGACAACATTACCTTCGATGTGCGCGGCATAGTCAAGGCCATGGACCGCGTGGTGGCGGGGGCGGAGTCGATCGTCTCCTATCTGCCGTTGTCGCACGTGGCCGCCCAGACTGTGGACATTTACACCTGCGCCTATGTGGCCGGTTGCATCTGGTTCGCCGACAAGGACGCCCTGAAGGGGACGCTGGTCAAGTCGCTGCAGGATGCGCGGCCCACGCGCTTCATGGGCGTGCCGCGCGTCTACGAAAAGTTCCAGGAGCGGATGGTGGCCGTGGCCAGCTCCAGCGGCAGCCTGAAGAAGATGCTTGCCAGCTGGGCCAAGGGCATCACGCTGAAGCACTACATGGTGAGTCAAGGGTAAGTATTCCCCGATGGGCCCAACTTCACATACTTGAACTCCAGCTCTACATATGCGCATACATTATGCAAAAGGGATGCACGGTTAAAGTGGCTGCAATGACAGAGCTCCGTTTCCTACACTCCCGCCTGCATTTTTCATGGCTCAGCCTGCTTTTGGGCCAGGAAACTGGCTCCCTGAGACGCTTTAAGTCGTACACGAGAAAAAATACAAGTCACCAGTATGAAAAGTATTAACAGCCAACGTAAACAACATAGAAAAGAACTTAATCCAGCGGTAGGCCCTGGTAATTGATTTTGGTTGATGTTATAAAGACTCATAAATTAAATGGAAAGCCCTTAAAAGTTTATATCCTCAATGATACGTACAGTAAACATTTTAAAATATTTTAGTTGGAATTGTTTCCGGTGTACTTTGCCTGCCGTGTTTGGTACCCGCTAAATTATGCAAGCCAAGCAGGGCCTGCAGCGCTTCGTTGCTCTGGTTTAAGCGAAAATCAGTGACAACAACATTACTCATACGTCACGTGGAACATGCAGGCAGCCAGCTCTCGCTGCTCCTGCTGCTGCTTCTGCTGGTATTTCCCAGCAAATACGAGAGCACCCAGCAGTGGGTGCAGAACCACGGACCAGGACTAAGACGTGCCAAGCGAGAAGTCTTTCCAAGTAGGAGCAAAAGGAAGGCAGCGACAAGGAGGTCTTTTCATGTTAAACTGCTTGAGCAGTGATTGAAGTCTAGCAAATCCATCAGACTCATCAAGCTCTAACAATTTGATAGAAAACTTGAAGTAACATTGATGAAAGTTAGCTGTAAACGTAATCTGAAATTTAATTTGAAAGCGTTTAGTATTCCAATGCATTATTTTCCTTAGATTTAATTAATTTATAAAAACTGCACCACCTTTTGGTTTTGGTAGCCACTTTAATAGTGCATTTCTGGTCGGCCCAAACTCATCCATATTTATTGAGGTGCAGCCATCCCACGTCTGCTCACAGCAACCTTCAACAAAACTCATCAGTCAACAAAGCTAATTAAACTTTTCGCCCGCAACTTTTTGCAGCAAGAGTTCCGGGGGCTTCCGCTACAAGATAGCCAAGTCCCTCATCATGTCGAAGGTGAAACAGGCCCTGGGCTTCGACAGGGTGCTGACCCTGGCCAGTGCCGCCGCTCCCATGTCACCGGAGACGAAGAAGTACTTCCTGAGCCTGGACCTGAAGATAGTGGATGCCTTTGGCATGTCGGAGACGGCCGGCTGTCACACCATCTGCCTGCCCGACTCGGTGGCTCTCAATTCCATTGGCAAGACTCTGCCCGGATGCGAGTCGAAGTTCATCAACAAGGACAGCAATGGCCACGGCGAGCTGTGCATCCGCGGACGCCACGTTTTCATGGGCTACATCGATAACAAGGAGAAGACCGAGGAGTCGCTGGACGACGACTGCTGGCTGCATTCCGGAGATCTGGGCTTCGTCGACGACAAAGGATACGTCTCACTGACCGGCCGGTCCAAGGAGATCATCATTACCGCCGGAGGCGAGAATATCCCGCCCGTTCACATCGAGAACATGATCAAGAAGGAGCTGGATGGCATCTCCAACGCCTTCCTGGTGGGCGAGCAGCGCAAGTATCTCACTGTGCTGATCACAATTAAGGTAGGTCAAAAATCTATAAAAGATTTGAATAAGAATTTGAAACGAATTGTTCTTCTTTGCAGACCGAAATGGACAAGGACTCTGGCGAACCCCTCGATGAGCTGAGCCACGAATCTTCGGTGTGGGTAAAGTCGCTGGGAGTGGAACACAAAACCGTGTCCGAGATCCTCGCGGCCGGACCCTGCCCCAAGGTGTGGAAGTCTATTGAAGACGGCATCAAGCGCGCCAACAAGCACTCCATATCCAACGCCCAAAAGGTGCAGAAGTTCACAATCCTGCCGCACGACTTCTCCATTCCCACAGGCGAGCTGGGACCCACTCTGAAGGTCAAGCGCAACGTGGTTTCCAAGATGTACGCCGACGAGATCGAGAAACTGTACGCCTAGACAGCAGAGCCACGCTGGAGCGGAACTTGAGCTTTAATGTGAATTTTTGAATTTAACGGACTTTCAAGCCAATTGAGTGCCACTTTACATAGGATATAGGCGGATGTTAACTGTTGGATATTATATTTAGATTCAAGGCCCCGCATCTTAGGACAATTGGGCCCGTATGCCCATTTAGACCTTAGCTTGCCCCGACCAGATCCAGAGATCTGTCAAACTAGCACCTAAGCCATAATTCGTAAATACTAATTGGTTGTACCAACTGAAACAAGAGAACTTTTTTATTGTCTGAAGAGCAACAATAAACTGAAACTATATAGACTTATTCGAAATCGTTGTCATGGGTAATGCAGAAAGAATGAATCAAGAAAGGAATTAGTGCGTTCCATGACATTTCAAATAATTTATTTCCAAAAGCAAGTCTAGACACTCTAATTAGTGTAAAAAATATGCTCGCTTTATTTAAGAGTTCAAATACAATGGTGATGATTCAGATTGGATTGGAAGATTCCCATACCCAGCTGCCTAATCTGTCGCCTTATCGGTTTCCGGCTCTGGGATCGCTTCCGCTTCCGGCTTGAGGCCCTTGGCCAGACGCTCGGCCACGCGCTGCATCAGCTCCTCCATGCTCATCTCGATCTGGACGCAGGCGCGCCGCGCGGGATCGAAGCGCTGCTCGTGGCCGCACTGCACCCGCTCGCAGCGCAGTCCGAGGCTGAACCAGCTGCTGGCATCCTTGAAGCCCGGCCGGCACTCGCACTCGTTGTGGGCCACGCAGAGGCTGTGCTCTGGACAGCCGCCCTGGCAAACTGGGCGGCAGGTGAGTCGGTGGCTGCTGTGAAGGTGCGAGGACTCGTAGCCGCGTTGGCAGTGGCAGCGGTCCGGCTCCGCGCAAAAGCTGTGCGCCGGACAGGGCTCCTGGCAGACGGGCTCACAGAAGCCAAAGAGAATGGTGCGGTAGCCGGGGCAGCACACCTGTATGTTGTCCCAGCGCACGAGCTCCTCAAAGGCCATGTAGTTCCCCTGGCTGGAGTTTCCGGGAGTAGATGGAGCTGGAGCTCTCGTCACCGGCACTTGATACTTCACACTGATATTCTTCTGGCAGTGTCCGGTGGTGATGGCCAGGCCGCTCACCTGCAGTTGCACTGCCGCCCAGATGAGGACGAGACCCGCGACCGGAGGCACCACTTGGAGCAGCATCTTTGATGTTGGATATCGTGTTTACGTCGCCGCGAGTGCACTAAACGCAGCCGCCGCAGATTAAAGTGAAAGCCGATCAGCTTCTTTTGCTGCTGTTCACTCAGAACAAAATCGAAGCCGTAATTCAAGTGCAAATGCACTTGGGAAATGCTTTTGCTTTACGAATGCCATGCTCAGTTTCCATTTCCCGCAAGTTTAGTTTATACGATTTGTAAATAAATACTTAATAAAGTGAACTAGTAATTCCCAAGTTTGAATTCTGCGACATGCCAAAACCAATTGGTAGAAATATTTCTGACAAACGATAAAACATAAATACTTGTATATGTTTATAAAATTGAGTTGATTTCTAGTTTAGGGTTATGATAGAAAATGTTTAGGACTTTAATATCTGATAAAGCTTTCCTTGAGAGTAAATATGCAGTATGAAGTATGGTATAAAGTAACATTCAACTTCATGTGTAACAATTTTCTTTCAGTTTATATTATCTTACATTCGCTTCGGACCATTTGCAGCTTCAATCGTCTGATAAGAGGGGGTCTGTCAAGCTCTTATTATTATTTTATTTTGCATCGGCTGCCGTCCTTATCAATAGCATTGGAAATGTACCGAGACGAACTTTTGGAGAGCATCGAGCTCGCTTCGAAAATGTTCGAGCCAAAGAAGGCTGTCGTATCGTATTTAGGTTGCAACCTTACAGTGTCGGTCTAGTCGTGGAAACCCATTAGATCGCTTGCAACAAGTTTGAAGCGCAACTGTTAACACCTTAAAACATAAAGTTTTATTAATTTTTAATACACATTTTATTTTAAATATTGACTAAAAATGTGTTTTTCAATATAAGAATCCACCATAAAGTGGAAATTATGTAATTGTAGCCTTAAACAATTAAATTTTTAGTTAGAATTAAAAGGAACAGCCGCCTAAAAGCGTGCTTTACAAAGCAGCTAACAAAGTCTTAAATCTGAAATTAGTTGCATATTTTAAGATACTTTTCTGTTATTAAACTTGAAATAAAGCTATTGAACATTATTTAGTTACAAATTATATAGTTATTTTATTTGAATTTAAACAATTTAATTTTGTAGCTTAATGAGAGCTCCCGATTTGTTCCTTGTTTAACTACTACTACTATACTACTATACTATACTTACTATTCGGTATAACCCATAAACTGTTAAACGTAATCCATGCTTCTTTCTTTATCAAAATATGCCACTTATTAACACAACCAATACTGTTATTACTCTTTTATGTAATAACTTAAATAATTATAATAATAAGACAGGTAAACTACTGGTTACAGGTGGAAAATGTATTTTTGTTCAGTACTTCGCACACTCAATTTTTCCAAGTGGACACCAGCATAGTACAACTCGACCCCAGAGACAAGTGCTGTTTGCCTCGAAGCCGAGCTCTGACGGATGCGGATGCCCTGCTCTCCGGAATACGGCTGTACGGGTGTATCGGCTCAGCGGTAGCGTTGTATGTGCCAGGCGGGTTTTGCATATGAGCTCTTCGTGCGCCTGTGTTGCTCGATATATACAAATAAACATAAGCAGCCAGCAGGCGAGCAGAAATGATTAGCAGGCCGAAAGACCAGAGGAGCGTGTGTGCTTTGTGTGTGGTGTGCAATGCTCCGATGTTGTGTTGTTTTTGCTGCGAGAGTGTATTGTGTAGACGGGTATGTGCGGCGTGCGGGGTCCGAGGTGGGGGGCGGTTAATGTTACCCCATGAAAGCTAAAACGGTAACGGGCGACGTTCTCGCAAATTCGTAGGTATGTAACGTACACATGTTTACATACCCGTCCGTCTGTCTAAAGCGCGTGCGAGTGTGTGTAATGAGCAATAGCAGGCAGGGCAGGCAGCGCGAAAGCCGAAACCAGAAATGAAATGAAACTGAAATGTAATAGGCGGCGTGGCGGAGGGTATTCAAATATGCAGAGCAGCTGCAGTTGGAGAAACTTGCACCTTTTAACCTGGCAGGCTGAAGATATATTATATTGGAAAAATTAATATTCATCTGGTAAAATAAATAAAAACATCATTAGCATAATTATACATAAATCTAATTTAAAAGTATTTTAATTTTGTAACTGTAGTTCCTTATTTTATTTGTTATCTGCCTTGCACATAATGGTAGCGAGGTTTAAATGTAATCAAAAGCTTCAATTTCTGTAGTTTTTCTCTTTGTGTAAGACCACTTGTTTGTGTATGTAGCCATATGTACATATGTAACCATGTATAAGCAGCGCGACCTGTTCACATCCCCAATCAGCTTTTTTGTTGTTGCATGCTGACAGCGATGACGTAGCAGCAGCCATGGCACGCCAGCCTTCGCAGTGAGCGTCGCAGCCAGCGTTGGCGTCGCTGCCGGGCGGCGATGGAGCAGCAGCAACTCAATTTGTTGTGATTATCGGCGGCAGCGGCTGTTAGTTAATCGGACACAGACGTGGACAGAAATGTGGGACATGTCGCGCACAGGCGTTGTCGGAAAAGAAGGACACTTGACTGGAAACCACCAGACCTTTAGTGATAATCTATATAATAACAGTTTACCAAAAAAAAATATATGTATATTAAAAATAAAAAAAAATAATAAATAAATGCATATATATTAAAATTTAATGTTCACTTAAATTCCAAGTGGATCTCTTTCTTAAATATATTCACTTTTCAACGAATATTTAAATCCAATAATCATAAAAGTTTATTGTCTTTACTTTATTACTCAGTTACAAGTCCCTTGCTTACCATTAATCTGAAAATCAGTAAAAATATAGTTAAGTTGGAAAAATAATAGATTTAAGGGTTCGATAACCTTCTTTGAAAAATAAAAACAAATACCTGTTCTTTGTATTAAACAAAAGATTATGAGGTCTTTCACAATAGCTTTTTCTTAATAGGTCAATATTTCTTATAGCGAAATGCACAAGATAACCTTTTACCCCTAAATACCGGCTTAATTCAGAATAAACATATGTATATTTACGTTTTAAAGAATTATGAAAGGAAAATGTAATACTAAATGCATACTAAAAATATTAGTTTATTTTGAGATATTTAACAACTTTTTAAAACTTTATTCCTGGAAGATGAGAAAATTTGAATGCTTCTCAAAATCCAAGAAGTAGCTTGACTTTGGGATATCGCACTCAAACTAAGGAAATCCTAAACATATATGACATTCCAAGGCAAGATCTTTTCTTTAAGAAAAATGGCTTGACCAAAATAAATTGTCAAATTGACAGCTTGCTCTGATACTTTTCAACATACAGAGCATGGGAGGTTCTGCTCCACTTGGGGAAATTACAACAGTCATTGGTCGCTTTCAATGACCACGCACAATTCGAGCTCTATCGCAACCAGTATGGGTAATCCGAGTTCAGAATTTTCCACTGATCAACAATGACGACAGAAAATCGAAGCATCATCCAGAACAAACGGCTCAGAACGACGCCTTGAAAATAGAGATAGACATATTGTGTGAAAGGGAGGGAGAGTATGACTCCATAATCAGTGCATCCATAGCTATCTCCGATGATAGTGACAGTGATGATGGTGCCTATTATGGGGGCTGCTCAGATGCAATAACCGACCCGGTCGAGCTGATTAGCTTCTGGGCTTATCAGGCAAATGCACTTAAAATGAACTCGTGACTCTGCTCTGACGACAGAAGCAAAAATAGAACATCGGTAGGCTTTCCTTCTAATATTAAAGAGGCTTTGAGTATTCCTAACTGAGTGCAGTATCTTCTAGAGTTCGATAAAAAGATTACAAATGAATTGCATTTGGCCAATGGGCTCCACTGTGCGATGTTGAACTCAAAACAAATACACTTGAAGAACTCGAGGCAGTCTTTGACTAAGTTTATGATCTAAATTCTAGGGAGACGAATACATGCAACGATGGTATCCAGGCGAAGATAATTGGAATATGTTAGTTTCTATAGTTAAAATGGGTTGCCTTAGTTCCTAGCTAACTTTTGTTTTAAATACCGGTTTCTATTACTACTATTCCAACTATTGTATGTCCATTTGTATTTGCAAATGTGACCAACTAACTGCTCAAAAGGTGGACGTGAGAAGAGGGCCTGCGTCTTGGATCCCAATGCGAACACGACTGATATGTTTGTGTAGAAATAAGTTGGAATGAGTATGATAGAGGGGGGTCCAGGGGGGCTGCATACTTACGTACATACCCTGCCCGTACATCGCCCTAATGTACGTATGCTCGACTGTGGGCTTCTACTGGTTCGTACATACATATGTACATATGTAAGTATGTACGCTTGTCGCTCGGTCCGCTCGCTTGTTTGTCAATATGTACACATGTTATTTGATTTTCGTTTCGCTTTTTATGTCTGCGATGTGTTGTTGGTACATGAATATAAATGCTGTTTATCTCTGCCAGCCCCTCGCCCACCCCGCCTCCTTCTAGTAGTTTCTTTTGTAGTACTTGTGTGTGGGTATCGCCTCTTGTATGTACGGATGTACGTACGTACGTACATACATATGCCAGAGTGTGCTTCCTTATTGTTGTGTGTACTTGTTTGTTTGCCGCTAGTTGTTATTGTTGCTTTCGGTGCTGGCTGCTCTGCTCGCATGAACTTTTTGCTTTTGCTTTGCTTTGGCTCTGGCTTCGGCTTCGCCTCTTTCACGCCTGCTAATCAATGCTGTGCGCCGGGTGTTTTCGCTATATCTATATGTACACAAACAAATCTACAAAAGTCGCAGACATGCGGCCACCCCTAGTCGCAGTCCGCAGCCCCCAGACCTCTGCCCACATCCCACAGCCCGCACATTAGGTCACTCGATGTGCGTGTAAATATGTACAGAACAACACATCGTTACACATGCAGGGCCAATAGATGAACGGATGAATGGATGGATGGATGGATGAGTATATGCACAGATGGATAAGGGCCAGCATATCGGCAAATCCCGCTAAAGTCGCTGCATATCGGCCTGGGGATCAATTCTCATTGCCAAGCACAAAGTTCTATTAATATTTAAAGCTGGACAGATAAAAAAAACAATCTGATAATAATAATAATTTAATAAGTCAACTAATTAGTAATATGGGAATGAACTATATTCTTTCATTACCTTTAAAATATTTTATTCTAAATATTAAACTTTTTTTTATCAATTCCGCTTTCGGAGGACATTTCCGAACATTGCACCTTCTAGTATCTAAAGCAATAAAATTGTATACGGAACATTGCCCACATATTAATATTAATCTTTTGGTGTTTAAAACTAACAATGTTCAAAAATGCGACTAAAGAGAACTAAGTAGAAAAACAAGAGTTTATTCATACTTAACTAAGACGGTTACAAAATAATATTCTATGGTCATCACTTGTCCACCTTGACTACTTTGCTGTTGGTCTAAGCAGATGGACTCTTTCATTTACATGTTTTTATAGGGTATTGTAAACGTCCGCTCCTATTATTATTATATTATATTTTTTAACGGTAATGTTCTGAGCATTCGAATTCTGTGATGTGACCAATATATATTTCATTGTCGAAACAAACTTTCCACAAAAAGGTATAAAAGCCTCTCGAAGAGATTTACTTTACATATTATTTATCCCATATTCTGATATCAGGACTTATTGCTCTGCACCACCCTGTTTTATTTGATTGTTAGCTTTATTGCCTGTTCGCATTTGAGGTGAGCTCTTCCCCCTGACGTCTGCCTGTGCCGCTTTGTGGTTACCCCCAAACCCTGGCACCGCACATGCGATTACATTTGCTCGGGCGCCGCCCCCTGAGCCCCTGCCCGCATATATATTCCGATTTTTATATTTTCTTGCACTAGCCGATACAAGTCCATGTACCGCCGCTGCACATACCCCCTCACACTCGAAAATACATATAAATTTATATAGTTGCGAGTAGAGTAAAAAGAAACAAACGGGGAAAACAGAATATTGCAACTATTTGTGTTGTAGTTTTGATGCAATAACCCCCGCCGGCCTCATCCCCAGTGCCTTTGCAGTGAATGGTCACACTTGTTGGCATTCATGAGCTGCTGTTCATTGGTAAATAATTTCATAATAATGTTGTTCTTGCCAGCATAACAGCAGATAAGCTGTGAATTGCAACAATTGCAATTGGGTTAATAATATTTCCCTTGATCGCTCCCGTGCCCAGTCACCACATGTGGCGTTCAGTGTATGTAAATCGCTCCACGCAGCGCAAATGCTGGGCACATTCGCTCTGAGGTGCTTCCGACATTTAGCAATAAAATAAATTAAACAATAAATTATAAATTTGTACAAAAAATGACTGTTCGTCGAACAGGCGCCCAGAAACCCAAGCACAGTGGAAAACCAACAAAGCAGCAGCGTAGACGTCGACTTCAACTGCGACGCCGACAGCGACAGCGACTGCGAATGTTGTTCTTGTTGTTGCTGTCAGCTGGCCTGCGAGAAAGTTTTTTCCTCTCTCTCTCTACGTGACGCAGTGCGTGTGTAACCGGTGTGTGTGCGAGTGTTATGGCACTCGTCTAAGCGTCCGAGTGAGCAAATGGCCGTACGGGTTCAGGGGGTATTTCACGGGGGACATCCCCGTGAAACCCCGCCTTCCGCAGTACCTGCAATGGGTTCATTTTTACCTTTACGAACTCACAAACACACATCATGTGTGCATATGGGCGGAGTTGGCGTCACCTGCACTACCTGGGACTCGATCACATTACTAGTGCTTGGCCAGGGTCAGTTTTGTACTAAAATGCGAGAGTTGTAAACTAATATAACCATATAATATTTCATGGAATCATATTAAATGATAAAATCATAAAAACAGTAAAGAGAAATTTGAATATAAAACATTTCTACGCTCTATTACCCTATTTATTTGTTGATCCCGCGAATAATATTCAAATTTTTTAACCTTTAAATAATATATAATAGTAAAATAAATGTAAAATAAATTATTTATAAATTGTAATAGTTCATTATCAATTTAAATATGTTTTCATACGATAGTACGAAATTGAAAATTGATTAAAGTGCTACGAAAACTTTTTAAATATTATTTTTAAATTAATCTAATTTTCTTGTTATGATAAAGATTAATTTTCCTTCACTTTACCTACTTAATGGATATGGATAGGATATGATAATTTTGGAAAAATATTACTTATTTTAATTATTTTAATTTAATTTTCAGTTAACTTATTATAGAAAAATTTTGCACGAATTATTCTAGAAATATACAACTTTTATTTAGCCTAAACAATAATTTATAGGAATTTCACAAATACAACTTGTTGATTATTGCATTTTTTATTAGAGAAATTATTATATTTTAATGCATAGTTCCCAAATAGTTTCAATTAATTCATATTAACACTAAAATATATAATCTCGTGCTACTACTGATCTTTGCTCTAGATCCCATGAAATCAATAGCACTTTTATTCAAAGGTTTTATGATTCTGAATCCTGTTACTATCGCACAACGACCGCCACAAAATTTGTGAGCTCACGACCCCCGATTATCTTTATCGGCATCCGTCTGAGGGGCTTCTTAGCAGGGAGAATCGGGGCAGGGAAAGACATTGCCTAGACTATATCCCTTATCTGTCAAAGCCCGAATCATCCCCGATGTTGCTGCACGTGTATGAAGATCAGAAAATTTATTCCTAACGACAAACAAGAACTCTTGACTAATCGGTGTCCGCGCTGCGATTGATTGCCAGATTTCTGTACTGTGGATTTTAAAAGAATATTCGATTTAATAAAGAGGGCTGACTATAATTATATATATATATATATTAATTATAGAAATTCTTTGACTGAAGTTAAGATTTATCAATTGCAGATTAATGATACGAAAGGTATTCCAGTATTATCATCTAATCAGCTACTAAACTAGTAACAATAAATATGAATAATTTAGTTAATATTATAAAGCAAGTAAAATGGATAGGAATAGGAGCACATTAAGACACAAACTACTAATAGTCTTTATGAAGAGATTACAGAGCGTTCCTTTCCTGTAAAACTTGTCTGAATATTAAATCCTATCCTATGAATGAATACGATCTTGACTATAATATAATATTTATATTTTTACCTTATTCTACGTAAGAAACTTTTGTATTGTATTGTAAGAGCTCTTACCGCATTAAGAATTTCTTAAATTACAATTACATTTCACATGTAAAATTTGCCAAGTCATTCTGTTTGATCTCATTAATACTGCATTCATCGAAAAATGTTATATATGATCAATATTTATTTAACAAACCTGTAAATAATGTTATATTCTACTCTGTACCTCTTGTACCTTTAACTACATGTAGACTACAGATTCCCAAAGCCAGGGTCCAAAGGTTCTTTAGATTTGTGTGTCCATAGACGTGGCTGAGAGCCACAGTGCGAAACATGCATGAGACTCAACATCTCTGCCTGCTACATATGCCTTCTTTGGGCTTATCAGCGTCTGGTGGCGATGGCATAAATACCCGTGCTCGGGATCTTGCCGGGTTTATTCGTCGCGAGTGCCTTCAGCATGAACGAACTCAAGCCAGCCACACGCTACACCAGCACCTCTCTTCACGAGGCTGTCAAGCTGCGCCTGGACGAGCCGGGATCCTTCTCGCAGGGAGTCGTCCCCCAAAACATTCCACAATTCTTCGCAGAGGTGTGCGAAAAGTATCCGGAGCTTCCCGCCCTGGTGTGGGAAACCCCAGGAGCCGGAGTCGATGGCTGGACAACTTTGAACTACCGCGGGTATCAGGAGAAGGTGGAGCAGGCTGCCCTTATGCTCTTGAGCGTGGGCCTCGAGGAGCGGAGTTCCGTGGGAATCCTTGCCTTCAATTGTCCGGAGTGGTTCTTTGCCCAGTTTGGCTGTCTGAGAGCTGGTGCTGTTGTGGCCGGAATCTACCCCAGCAACTCGGCAGAGGCCGTTTATCACGTCTTGGCCACCGGAGAGTCCACCGTATGTGTGGTGGATGATGCCCAGCAAATGGCCAAACTGAGAGCGATCAAGGATCGCCTGCCCCGACTGAAGGCGGTGATCCAGCTGCACGGTCCTTTTGAGACCTTCGTCGACCAGGAGCCAGGCTACTTTAGTTGGCAGAAGCTGCAGGAAATTACCTTTTGCAACGAGCTCAAGGAGGAGCTAAAGGCACGTGAAGGTCGAGTGTATGCCAACGAGTGCGCCATGCTGATATTCACTTCGGGTACTGTGGGCCTTCCCAAGGCTGTGATGCTCACCCACGACAACATCATCTTTGATACCAAGGCAGCGGCAGCTTGTCTGAAGGATGTACAAATCGGAAAGGAGAGTTTTGTCAGCTATTTGCCCCTGAGTCATGTGGCTGCCCAGATCTTCGATATATTTTTGGGACTATCCCATGCCGGATGCGTGACATTTGCTGACAAGGACGCCCTCAAGGGAACCTTGATAAAGACCTTCCGTAAGGCGAGGCCTACAAAAATGTTCGGAGTGCCGCGAGTCTTCGAGAAGCTTCAGGAGCGACTGGTGGCTGCGGAGGCCAAGGCAAAGCCTTACTCCAGGCTTATTTTGGCACAAGCTCGAGCTGCGGTTGCCGAGCACCAGACCACATTGATTGAGGGGTGAGTTGACAGAATGCTGAACCAGTGAAATATATGCAGGTTTTTAAAAAGGGTTTTTTACAACTTTAGTTGCATTTACACTTGGTGATCCCAGTTAAGTTATTGGAACTAACGTCAAAGGGTTAACCATTCATAGTTTACCCAGGACGAACTTTGACACTTAGTTACATCACTGGAAACACCAAATCTGAAACTCATCAAGAATGGATTTCAGTACCAAACACTTAAAATATATGTCGCTAGATTAGTATTAAAGACTACCCGTGGTTGATACGTGATTTGAACCTTTGAAGTTAGGTTTTTTTAAAAGTTCTGTGGGTCTTTGTATAAAAATATGTTCGGTTCATTTATCCAGAACTTTATCTAATATTTTTCTGTATTTTTATTTTCAGCAAAAAACCTTCGATTTACGGCAGTGCAAAATACTGGCTGGCCTCTCGAATCATAAAGCCAATTCGTGAGATGATAGGTCTGGACAATTGCCGGATTTTCTTGACTGGCGGAGCCCCCACCTCTGACGAGATGAAGCAGTTTTTCCTAGGCCTGGACATTGCTCTGGGCGAGTGCTATGGGATGTCGGAGAGCGGTGGTGCAATCACTCTGAACGTCAATATCAATAACCTGTACAGTGCGGGCACCTCAATCGAGGGACTGACTTTGAAGATCCAGGACCCGGATAGCAATGGCCAGGGGGAGATTCTGATGCGCGGTCGTAGCATGTTTATGGGTTACCTGGGACTGCAGGAGAAGACCGAAGAGGCCATCAAGGAGGATGGCTGGCTGCACTCCGGCGACTTGGGGTACATCGATCCCAAGGGAAACCTTGTGATCTCTGGTCGGCTAAAGGAGCTCATCATCACCGCCGGCGGGGAGAACATTCCTCCGGTGCACATCGAGGAGCTAATAAAGAAGGAGCTGCCCTGCGTGAGCAATGTCCTCCTGGTCGGCGACCATCGCAAATATCTGACAGTTTTGCTGTCCTTGAAGACGAAGTCCGATGCCAAAACGGGGATTCCATTGGATGCACTACGTGAGGAGACCGTCGAGTGGCTCCGCGATTTGGACATCCACGAGACCCGTCTCTCTAGTCTTCTCAGCATACCATCGGACCTACAGCTTCCCAACGACGCCGCAGCTGTGGCTGCTGCCCTGGACATCACTGCCGAACCCAAGCTCCTTGAAGCCCTCGAAGAGGGTATAAAGCGAGCGAACAAGAATGCCATCTCCAACGCTCAGCGGGTTCAGAAATTCGCCCTCATTCCCCACGAATTCTCCCTGGCCACCGGAGAATTGGGTCCGACGCTCAAGATCCGGCGGAACATTGTTCACGCCAAATATGCCAAGGTCATTGAGCGCCTCTACAAGTAACTCAGCGATGGTAATCTCAGCCTACAAATATAATACTCACAGTTTCGACTTGATTAGACTTAAATTGTAATAATCATTAGTATTTTAAGCATTTGTGAACTTAATATATTTTTGTATAAAAGTAAAAAAAAAGGTTTATTATTATTTCCTCGGTTTATCCAACTAAGGTTTTCTTTTGAGCAAAACATCTTAAAGCTGCCACTAGAACGATAACTAAGAATGACTTCTATGTTGTAGGTTTTAAGGGTAAACCCATTTTGATAAGGATAGATCAAAATGTGTATATGATCGAACTGAAGCATCCATTGCCATTTGCACATTCTACAACTTTTTTTATATAAAAATACATAAATGTCAGAGTTAACATCGACAGGAGCCCGTTGTTAAATCGTTTCCGGCTCGGCAATATCCGATAGCCAAATGTAGAGAAAGAAAAGAGCTGCTTTGAGTGATTGCGATATACCATAAGAAGCCAAGGAAGGCTAAACCTGGGATAACTTGGTATCTAGTCCTAAAAACTTGTCAACATATGGCGGAGTTAAATATTATTTGTAAAACCAAGCTGCTTTTTCAATCAAGATCAAGAAACTAAAGATTGTGGTTGCAGTCCGTCTGTCTGACGCATAAGAAAATTGCTCGACAGCGACTGGAAAGAGTTGACACTAAGGGGTCGACACTTTGGACATCTTAATACAACAAAATCATCAAAAATGTTTTTTAATTGTTTCTAAGCAAGGGGTTATGCTAACCTCGTGACCCCAAAACACGGTATAAGGTATGTAAAACAATATTTTAAAAACGAACAAAAACCGTATTTTATTGCTCAAAAAAAAAAAAAACAAAGACAAACGGACAGACGAACGAAAAGACGGACGGACTGGATATAGAAGAATTTATCTAATTAGTAGAATCAGAAATCATTTTAAATTATAATTACCTGTAAGGGTATAATAAAAGTAAGAAAGCTTCAGGCAATGGTGCTGGACTATGATATACCCGGTAAAAATGTAATTACTTGGTAAATATGCGCTGACGTTCTCTGGAAATGTATATCTAATTAGATGATAAACAAGAGAGTTATTATTCAATAAAGTTTTTACCTCCGTCTAGCTCTCATTTACTAGAGTTAGTTGAGTTTCGAAAAGGGGTTTCGCGGTTGACATAAATACCTGTGCTTTGGATCTTACCGGGTTTATTAGTCGCGAACGCCTTCAGCATGAACGAACTTAAGCCAGCAACACGCTACACCAGCACCTCTCTTCACGAGGCTGTCAAGCTGCGCCTGGACGAGCCGGGATCCTTCTCGCAGGGAGTCGTCCCTCACACCATACCCCAATTCTTCGCGGAGGTGTGTGAAAAGTATCCGGAACTGCCCGCCTTGGAGTGGGAAACCCCAGGAGCCGGAGTCGATGGCTGGACAACTTTGAACTACCGCGGGTATCAGAAGCAGGTGGAGCAGGCTGCCCTTATGCTCCTGAGCGTGGGCCTCGAGGAGCGGAGTTCGTTGGGCATTCTTGCTTTCAATTGTCCGGAGTGGTTCTTTGCTGAATTGGGCGCTTTGAGAGCTGGTGCTGTTGTGGCAGGAATCTATCCCAGCAACTCGGCAGAGGCCGTATATCACGTCCTGGCCACCGGAGAGTCCACCGTATGTGTGGTGGATGATGCCCAGCAAATGGCCAAGCTGAGAGCTATCAAGAAGCGTTTGCCACGACTGAAGGCAGTGATCCAGCTACACGGACCTTTCGGGAACTTTGTTGACCAGGAGCCAGGCTACTTCAGTTGGCAGAATCTGCAGGAAAGGACCTTTTCCAAAGAGCTCAAGGAGGAGCTAAAGGCCCGTGAAGGTCGAGTGTATGCCAACGAGTGCGCCATGCTGATATTCACTTCGGGCACTGTGGGCTTTCCGAAGGCTGTGATGCTCAGCCACGACAATATTATCTTTGAAGGCAAGTCCGCAAAAGCTTTCCTGGAGAATATGATAATCGGATCGGAGCGTCTTGTGTCCTATTTGCCTCTGAGCCATGTGGCTGCCCAGATTACTGATTTGATGTTTGGTCTAATCTGTGCCGGATGCGTGACATTTGCTGATAAGGACGCCCTTAAGGGGACCTTGATAAAGACCTTCCGAAAGGCGAGGCCCACGGCGATATTCGGAGTGCCCCGAGTCTTTGAGAAGATGCAGGAACGACTGGTGGCTGCAGAGGCGAAAGCTAATCCCCTCTCCAGGCTGCTACTGGCCCTGGCTCGAGCTTCGGTTGCTGAATATAGGACTACATTGATTGAGGGGTGAGTTGGAAAAGGCTTAACCTTCAAACATTAAAAAAGTGGGTAAGGTCAGGGTAATGCCACTTTTTTGTATAAGGTTCATAATAAACACAAAAAATGTGTAGGTTTGATCTGCTCATATGGCTTAGAAATCCCATAAAAACTTGCCCATGTTTTTATTACTCCTAGGTCAAATAGTAACTTTTCATTGTTGTTTTATACGAGTTAATCTTTTTGATGTAAATCTTTAAGAGACCTTTGTTGGTCTAATTTAAGTACTTTAAATGTTGTGATTCTAAAATTTTTGTCTTGACCTTATAAGTGCTTAGATTTTAAAAACAATGCATTAACGACTTTATATTGAACTCATTTTTCCTTAGAAAAACCCCCTCAATGTCTGAAAGTGTTAAGTATTGGCTGGCGTCTCGCCTTGTAAAACGAATTCGTGAGATTATTGGCTTGGACCACTGTCGCTATATCTTGACGGGCTCGGCTCCCGTTTCCGTTGAGGTGAAGCAGTTTTTCCTGAGCCTCGATATGCCTCTGGGCGAGTGCTATGGGATGTCGGAGAGCGGAGGTATTGTCTCTATGAATGTCGGTAATCAAATGAGCAATTTGCACAGTGCGGGTCCTACGATGAAGGGACTGACTATAAAAGTCCAGGACTCGGATGGGAGTGGCCAGGGGGAGATTCTGATGCGGGGACGAACTATTTTCATGGGTTACCTGGGACTGCGGGAGAAGACCGAAGAGGTCATCAAGGAGGATGGTTGGCTGCACTCCGGCGACTTGGGGTACATCGATCCCAAAGGAAACCTCGTGATCTCTGGTCGGCTCAAGGAGCTCATCATCACCGCCGGCGGGGAGAACATTCCCCCGGTGCAGATCGAGGATCTAATAAAGAAGGAGCTGCCCTGCGTGAGCAATGTCCTGCTAGTCGGCGACCATCGCAAGTATCTGACAGTGTTGCTGTCCCTGAAGACGAAATCCGATGCCACAACGGGGATTCCATTGGATGCATTGCGTGAGGAGACCGTCGAGTGGCTCCGCGATTTGGACATCCACGAGACCAGTCTTTCTAGTCTTCTAAACATTCCGTCGGACCTTCGGCTTCCCAACGACGCAGCAGCTGTGTCTGCTGCCCTGGACATCATTGCCGAACCCAAGCTCCTTGAAGCCCTCGAAGAGGGTATAAAGCGAGCAAACAAGAATGCCATCTCCAACGCGCAGCGGGTTCAGAAATTTGCCCTCATTCCCCACGAATTCTCCCTGGCCACTGGAGAATTGGGTCCGACGCTCAAGATCCGGCGGAGCATTGTTCACGACAAATATGCCAAGGTCATAGACCTTCTGTACAAGTAATATTCTCTTTTGTAAATTGTTCTTTTAGGTTTTTATGTTATTTTTAAATTTTTCTACACGTTAGACTTATTTTTATTATGTATTTATAAATCACCAAAATAATTATTAAGTATATATGAATAAATTGGTTATTTTTGAAATATATTGTCGTATTTTCAGGGGGGACTATGGATCTCATTATTGTTTCTTTGTGGCTGCCATTCACCTTTGTCGACGTACTGAAATAAACAAGGTTTTTCTTGATAAAGAAGAAAGTCAAGCTATTCAAGTAAAATAATTTTTAAACATATATTTTTGTAGTATGTTCAAGTATTAATCTAAAAATATTATTTTACAGTTCAAAATAAAAATATCGCTTTGTATTTACACTTTTAGAAGTCACTACAAGCTGCTTGTATAAAAGCCATAATATTAGACAGTAATTTAATTGAATATTTAGTATCTTGAAGATAAGTATTTTGTAAAATAAGTTGTGTTTTGTATTTGGTTTTTGATTCCAAAGCGCTCTGAAAACTCAAAAAGACAAACAAAATATTAGATGCCATTTTAAAATTCTCTATTAGGCCTTAAAACTCGATTTTTCTATCTCTAAAGTAAACTTTTCTTTGCAAGATATGTTAAAGTACTAGGAAATGGCCCGAAGAACGTACAGATATTTAAGGCCTTAACAAACCATATTATTAAGCGCCTTCATCCCGCCCTTTCTGCCTTCATTTCGGTCGACGAACCGTCGCAACCAACGTAATCCGGCAAACGCCAAGGCAATGGCCGCCAGCATCCAGATGATCACCGATCGCGAGTCGAATCGGTCCGTGGGTATCTTGGGCCAGGTAAGAGGGGGCGGTGAGGGGTTCGCCTCGTCATAGGTTTGCTGCAAGCGAAAGTCCATCGATTACCCCTATTTTCCAGGCTTTTCAGCGATACTTACCGCGCACTCGCACTTGCTAGTCTTGTACTGCGAAACCTCTGCGGCATTCAGCAATATAATGGAACGATTGGTGTCTCCTTCGGTGCAGTCCACGCCCTTGATGTTCTTGAAGTCGTCGTTCCAACCATTCAGCACTGACCAGGGACGAGCAAAGTTCACGGAGGTGGGCAGCTCCCGCACCAAGTTTTCGATCAACCAGCCACAGTTGAAACTGTTGTCCGCCAAATTCAGGTACCGGAACTGGCGCAGACTGGCCAGATCGATGGATCTTAAGCGATTCGAGCTGAGATCGACATGGAGGGAGAGGCGATTCAGAGATGCAGGCAGTCGCTGCAGGAAGTCCACATCGGTAAGTGCGTTACCGGTGAACTGAATGAGCCGCAAGTGACTTTGGTGCGCCAATGCGAGTGGCGGCAGCTGTCCGATTAGGTTGTGACCAAACATAATCTCCTCCAGCTGGGTGTTGGCATTGAAAAATGTCTCTGGGAGCGTACTCAGTTGATTGTAGCTCACGTCTATTTGCAGAAGACTGACGAGCGTCTCCAGACTGTCTGTATGTACAGATTCTACAGAGTTATGGCTGATGTTGAGACGCTGTTGTGCAGATTAAAAAAGGTTAAATATTGTATCATCTTAAGGGACTATTTCCAACTCCATTCATTATTAGTTTTGAAGAATTGGAAGTCCTAAACATAACTAAAAATTGGAAAACTTAAAAAAATTTGAAAATATTTCATACTTACAAGAGGTAATAGATAAAACAAGTAAGAGAATTTTTAACCCTTTCTTATTATTACAATTGGCAATCTCACCTCCAATGAGTCCAGGCCCGATAAGGCTTCCTTTGTAAGATTTATCAATTTATTGTAGCTCAAGTCCAGGCTCTGGAGCTCAAAGTTCTTGGAAAATCCCAGTGGTTCCAAGCTCTTCACTTGGTTATTTGACAGATTCAGGTGAACCAGACGCGCCAGTCCCCGCTGGCTAAGAAATGGAAGGCTAGTAAGAAGATTCTGATCCAGGCGAAGACTCCGAAGGTGTGTATTAGTCTCGAACGAGTCCAGTTCTATGCGCTCTATTAGGTTATGCTGAAGGGACAGACTTGCGAGGCGGTGCAGACCCTGAAAGGAGCTGCCGTCGATGCGCTGCAGTAAATTTCCATTCAGATGCAGATGCTTCAAGTGGGACAGCCCGTGAAAGGTCTCCTCATCGATTTCACTGATCTGATTGGAGCTCAGGTCAAGCAGCTGCAGCTGGGGAAACAGCGCGAAACCTTGGGACCTCAGTCGCCTGAATGCGTTGTAACTCAGGTCCAAAGAGGTGAGAGCACCTAAGGGCTCACTGGACCAGGACCTAAGGGTGCTAAGATTGTTGTGGCTGAGGGAAAGGGACTGGAGTCTGGCCAGTCCATTCAGAGAAAAGTCCTCAAGATCATTAAGTCCGCTATATTGCAACTCCATCTGAAGAAGATGTCCAAAACGCACGAAGAAGGCATTCTCCAGGTGCGACAGGCTGCAGTTCCTCAGCGTAAGCGTAGTCAAGAGCTCCGTGTCCCGGAGCAGGGTCACCTCGGTGTGGTTGCAGTTGCTCAGCTGCAAGCACTCGACCCTGAACAGCAGCAGGAGACTAACTAGCAGCCGATACATCCCGTGGAACACTTGGGCGTAGACTAACAAAACAGATCTGGGGCTTCTGTAACCAGAGCCCTTATCTTATTGCAGCAGCCTGTAGTTTCAGCCGACAGCCCGTCAAGATAGGTAATCTGTTGATCAACTGGTCGCCGTTTGTCCACGGAAAATATTTGCTCACCTTTTAGTCAAAGTAGAAGGAAAAGCTTGCCTACTGTTTCACAAACTTGCAAAATGCATCTACTAGATGCTGAAAACGTTGTGAGAAGCAATTTTGAGAAGTTCTATTTTGGTTGCGACTAAATCTATTCAGAGATCTGCATTATTATGAGCTTAGTCACAGGAAATACGAAGTTTCATCAACTAAATAACCAAAGCTCCTGTGCTTAAGTTCCATCTCGAAATCACAAAGTTTTTGTATTTTTCCTGAGGATTAAAGCCTTGCCAAAGAATTATATTTTTACAAGAGGCTCTCAAGGTAATGATGAGGAATCTCTGACGCTGAGCAAAGTAATTTATTATTAGTTAATCTTTCAGTATATAGTCGCAAGGTTTAGTAAAGCTTTTAAGTACGTACAAATTGAGATTATTTTAAAATGTTGTGAGCATGAGGTATTTCTACAGCTAATACATATAACAAGTTATGGGCCGGAATCATTTTTCCTTAATTTAGTTTTACTGCACTTGTCGGATGTCAGATTTTACTGCAGTGACACTCTTGCTTATGAATTCATAGCAACACATAATATGCTAAATCTATAAGAGAAATGTAAATATTACTAATGAATGCAAGCACAGCTGGAATGGAAATGGCGCAAAATCCTGTTCAACCAAAAGCACACGGAAAATAATATTTTTTCAATTTAATTAAAAACAATTTGGTTCTGAACTGCTTAAGTGGATTTTATAAGAACGAATTGGTATATTTGTAATATATAATATATATTTTTTAATAACATTATAAAGTGTAATAAAGAAGTGTTCTTTAAATGTAACTTTAAAATTCTTATTGTGTATGTGCATTTTATATTGATATCATTTCGGTTGGCTGCAGCTATGAATATTTTAATTGAAATGTACAATTCACACAATTGAAATATCTTTGCTTGGGCAACGCCCAGTTTGCTTTATTTATGTATTTGGTTTTCGCCTGCATTTTAACCTTTACATTATCCTGTTTGCAGGACTCGACGGCATAAACAACATGTCGAGCGAGTCCTCCCTGCATGTGGAAGGAGTTTCAAATAAAGAGATAACCAGAACACAATAGCCACAAAAAGCAATGCAGTGGACATGGCAAATACACGATGAAACCAGGTAACACCATTATGACCATTCAGTTTGCTCCCTTCCGCAATTGTTGCCGCTTTTACTTATTCGGAGGTTGTTGGATGGCAAATTGATTTTGATATGTTTAAGGGCCCAGGCCGGCGGATGTGAGAGCTTAACACCTGTGCGAGAGTGCACTTCCGCAGCAATGCCATCACATATTTGAGTTGCGGCTGACCTGATTCGGCTTAAATGAAGAGGTAATGGCGTAGCTGGGAAGATTGCACTTAAAATGAATTGTAAGGCAATAAATACAATAACACAATCAGGATAATATTGTGAACTTTCAGGCTAAGTACAAAATTACCTAAATCAGTATAAGTATCTAAGCACACATCAATTGATTATAGACAACATATTATGTTTTAAGCTTAAATAACTTAAAGCTAGCTGGTAATTGCAGACTATTATAATCATTTTGTATGACAGAAGAGCAACAAACGGACATGTAAGTTTCCTCTGCCTTTCTCTTACCAAATAAAAGCAATTCAAATTGATTTTCCAGCCGAGATGTGGTTTTAAATTTATCCTAGAACAACAATGCCGAGCGGCGGAGGAACTTTGACTTCTAGGTCTTCGCAGATAAAAAGTCGGTCCTTGCGCTAAAATGACAAATTTAATATGTACTCCTTGTCTGCCGCTTGTTTGTTTGCCTTCCCGACGCTTTAGCTGCATTTTCCTTTTTGGGCAATGCAATAAAAAGGAAGAAGAAATGACCAAGCCTTGGCCCAATGCCAGCCAAGGCACGCAGGACGAGGCAGAAAGGACGGCCAACACATTTGCCAGAAGCATTGCAGATGGTTGGGAGCAGGAGCAGGAGCAGGAGCAGGGATATCTGCACACTTACCAACTTGTTTTTATTCGCAGGCAAGTATGGGATTCCCAGCTCTATTGCAAGGACTCTGCCACATCGACTGTGTGTGTGTGTGTGTGTCTGTGGTATTAAAATATTTTCGTACATATTTCAGCTGCCAAAATTATTTCAATTTAGTTCCGCAGAATAAATTGGTTTCCATTTTTGCCAGCTCGAGGGTTTTCAGTGATTTTTTCGTTTTCCTAAAATGTTTTCTCGAGTAATGAACATAAAAGTGGCAAATTATTTACTTACATGAATGATACTTATGTCAAATGAAGTCTCGGGATGAGATGTAAGCATGTTCCTTGGCAAAGCAAATTAAATATTTAAGCCTGGGATAATCTAGCTCTGATCCTTGGATCACAGCGGTTTACTTGGAGGTTAAGTTAAGCAGTCAACTCAATCTGTAGATTTTTGTTAATAAAAAACTGCTAAACAGGGTTGGTTTTGAAATGAATTTACTAATCATCTGCTTAGCAGATTTTTAGCCAAAAATGAGAGTTGGTTCATTTACTTGCCTTTACTTGGTTTATTTTCAGTTTTAGCCATTGTTACATTTCTATTCACTGCACATTAATTTCCCTGGAAATCAAATCATTTCAAAGACCCCGGCAAGTTTACTCTTTTCTATAAATATTTCAATAAGCGCATTGTCCTCCGCACACGAATAAGATTTTTCTTTTCTTTTTTTTTCTGCCAAACTCCCATACAGAACTCATCCGGAATGCATGTCCCCTCCTCCGAAACCTCACTGTTTCCTCAGCGAAACCCTTGCTTCATTGTAATTGTAATTCTGACCATTGGCAGAGTCATAACATGGCGTGGAAAAAGTGTAGCTAAGCTCACTGAAAGGTTTATTAGCTGAATGCTTGCCATTTCACGTTTAAAAGGAGTTTTTCCTATTTACTTAAGCAAAGTAAAATGAAGAACACTAGAGGTATTTTGCTAGCGTTTTTATAGTTTTCTCAGACCAATCAACTAGGTTCTTAATGGGTATATTTGGTGGGTTAACAGTTTTTTTAAGTTGGAAAAGTAAAACTTGAAATATAAATAATGATTCAAAGGCTTGTCAATGCTATTTTACCTTATTTACCATAAAAATATATATATATATATAACATATTGATATATATGATATGGTATTAAGTCTCGTTATCATCCCCTTTTTAACAGTTTAAAAGAATATAACTCCTTCGATGCTTTGTACAGTGTGACTCCTTTGTTACCCTTGGGCTGGCCTAACAAAAACAGAGAGAGAAGTTACCAAGTTTTCATTACCGGAAGCACATGACTGCATTTAGTTTGTGTTTCCTTTCTGCCTTTGCAGTTGCAACAATTTCCACTGGCAGTGTGAGGCTGTGTTTATTTATTTGGGTGTGCTATTAAAATTTCGGCATGCCAACAATGAACGAATGGGAGCGAATTTGAGTCCGGGACACGTATGCGCAAACGGATAAGGACGGGGACACGGACCTGAAATAGTAGCTCCTGAAACTGACTGACTTGCCAGACTTTTGGTGGCGCTTTTCGGGCTGCATGCCATTTTTACTTTTTCACTTCATTTCCGCAGCCCCAGAACGAATCGCAGTCCCTATTCCAATCCCGTTGCCGGGCTTGTAAAAAAATTCCATTTGCGGTCTGCCGACTGTTTTTGTTTTACGCTTTCCTGTTTTTGTTTCCCGCTGTGGAAAACTCCAGGGTTTTCAATGAATTTTTTAGTGCACAGGAGTTGGAAAAACGTGACGTAGGCGGTGTTGTTTTAATTGCTGCTGACAACGAAAGTTTAAGCAAATCAGAGCTGAGTGCATTCCATTGGTAATTGCTGGAAACAAAAATTAACAAAAAGTGATTGAATAATCGATGTCCCTGTATGGGTTAGTTGCGGTTGTATTGAAACAAATTTATAATTTATATACAAAATTAAAATCTGAACATGCATTCAGGCAGTTGTATACATAATAAATATCTATAGTTGTTGGATCCAAAGTTTCTAGATTTATTATTTTAATATTTTAACGCTCTCAACTTGGTATTGTTGCCAAAAATCTTGTTATTAAAAAGCTTTAAGTACCACATTCCTTTGTAGAGTCTTCATCTTCATTTAATTTCCGAGAACCGCCCCCCTCTCTGGCTTTTCAGATGGATGCAGATGCAAATTCGTTGACAGTCGTGTGCAAAAGGCGAGCTGAGTGATATCTCAGCTTACCCGGCGGCAACAGTCGTAATAAAGCGGCTCTTCCGCCCCCGCCGCGCCTTTCTCGCATCAAAATGGCTGACTGCACACACATTTCCGGGCGAGGACGCCGTGTTGCATGCCAATAAATCATATGGCTCCGAGTGCGGACTGCACATATACGTGACGGGGCGAAACGGAGCGGGATCCGAGAAGGGTGCTGGTGCAATCGGCCATGTTATTATTGTTGCTCTTATTATTATTATTGCTCGCCATCGGCACGATTGAGTTCGTTTCGCTTGGCCCTTGCGTTGTTGCCGGATAACTGGCTGCTTGCCGTCGGATGGCTGGCCAAGTTGACTTGTCATAAAAATTGAAATTGTTATCAACTCGTTCGTGCGTCCGACATTCAAGGATTATTGCATTATAGCAACCAGAACGCGGCTGAGAGTACAAAGCGAGACGAAGAGTGGACGAATAAGCCAATTATCTGTGGCGAAATGGGTCCTTCAGTACCCTAACTGTTCAGCTGAAGGAAGCTATGAACCTGATGCCTGGAAATTAAGTATCAAGTTTTCCTATCTAGGAGTTAAAAGTATTTAAAAATTATTTATTGGATTTTATTTATTTATATATTATCAATTATTTTACTCTTTTCCTTTTTGTACGTGACTGAGTGCACTTTTCCCTTGGAAAGTTATTATGTCGAGGATTGGGCGGGGTTTGAGCACTTAATGGAATACTCGCGTACAGGTGCCCCGCCTTGGGAGTAGCTGCAGTGGGTTGAACATCCTGCTGCCTCTGAAGCCTTCATACGGATTAAAATTCCGATAGAGTCCCTCTCCCTGTTTGGCTTATTTTCCGCTGTTCATCTTTGCCGATAAGCCGCTCTGCATTGAAAATTCACCAGCACCGGCCATCGAAGTGGCAATAAATTTCCCTCCTTTCGCATATCATTTATCATATTTGACTCGATTCGAAATGAGGAATGTGCAGCCAGCAGCGAAGCGAAATGCCAAATGATTGTCGAACGTCAAGAGCCAAGGCAATTAAGGCTGTCGAGTTCTTTAATCTCAATAAAGATAAGAGTAAGGGAATATAAGATGTGCAAGGTGCTTAAAAGGAATCGAAAATGAATCGTTGACTGGGGGATTACGTTAGCTTAAACAATGTTCGTAGTCATAGTTATTGAATACCTTAAAGAAATTCCTTATCTAAAAGGTTTCGTAAATCAAACTTAAACTGTAAATGTTATAACAACTTTCATATTTACAAGATATGACTTCTATTTATATTATATTTCCATTTTGAATGAAGTTTTCAAAACCGTTCGACTTTTGAGGTTGATCCCCAAGGCCAACACCTTTTAATCCATTTAAAATTCCAAAGTCCTCGACACAGTTTTCGGCAAGGAGCTAAGAGCGGAGAGGGAAAGTTGAACTCGGATTCACTTCATTTGACAGCCACAAAATCAATTGGAAAAGTGAGAAGCGAAATCAAGCTGCATAAATTATAGAGAAATCAGGAAAGCAAATTGAAACAATTGAGCGCCACGGAGAGCTGTCAGGAACTGTCAATTTGGGCGAGCCTCAAATGCAGTTTCCGTGGGGCTCTGTGCACGAAATTGCCGCGCTTTGCTTTTCTCGGTTCTTGGGTAGGGAATGCAACCAATTTTCACTTCCTGGAAATGGTGCGAAAAGGAAAAGTAGTCCGGCCAGAAGCTCATGAAATCGTCCAGATGTGTAACCTTAAATAGCAGTGCAAATTAACGCATGAACGTGTGAAGGGATGGCTTTTCCGAGTGGTGGAGTAATCTTTATTGAGTATGTTTTTAATCTGGACCGCGTCCTCTATGTCCTCTCGCTGCTCTTCTTCCTCTGTATCGGTATCGGAATCGTAATCGTTGTCCAATAGTCGATCGCCTATCATCTATCGGTATCGTATAGGTAGTCTCCTAAACAACAACACACTCGTCACAAAGGGAAAGGTTAAAGCTTTACTCTTCTAGGATATATCCTATGATAATGCAGTTTGTCTTGTAGCTTTCTATGTTTTCTTGCCTGCATTTCATTCTATTTGTGGCTTGTTCATTTATTACACAATTCGGCTTACAAGTCTGTAAATTTCATTACACGATCCCAAACGAAGGGAACTGGACGAAGGGAAAAGAGGTTCGCGGGAGTGCGGCTGCAATGGATTGAAAATGAATGCCAAAACCTTGATATGAATTAATATTTGAGCAGGGCTGCCAAGTGGAGCAGACATCTAAAGGGACTGGGGGCAAAGGGACATGGCTTTGCATCGAATGGACATTGGTTAAATGGGTCAATTCGGAGCGATTGATTGGCACGTTGGCTGTGTGCAAATATTAAACTTTTTCCTTAGCGGAAAATTTATTTAAGAAACTTTTCCCGCTCACAGCCATAGCTATTTGCCCAGACCAAGATATTCCCTTCGTGTTGGCGGAAGTGTGATATCTTCATCATTGCCTCGAATCACCTTAAAAGTGTAATAATATTCTGACAGAAATTGTTTAGCCAAGGCGGAGGCAAAGGTTAAGACAACTGGAAATCAGCAACCCACAAAGGCAACAAACAATAAACTGGGGGAAAGCCCGAAACGCCAACGAGAAAACACGAAGCATGAAAAATCAAAACAAATAAGCAAACAGGCAGGCAAACAAAGTGCCAAGCAAATTAAATAAAATCCGCACAAACAAAGAACTGTGGACTGGCCCCAAAAAGAGGAAGCGGCGACGGGATACGTACAAGGATACACATGCACAAGGATACTGGCGCAGGCCACTTAGATGCGGTTGACACAGCCACAGGATGCGAGAGTGTGTGTCTGTTTTTGTTTGTGATAAAAATGAAGCAATTGAAAGAGCCGCGACAAATGCCAACAACAATGGCTGAAAGCGAACGAGGCGGGGCGGGACGGGGCTGGCGGGTGAAATGAGACCAGAATAGAGAGGGAAAATTAATTAGACTTCCTCTTGGCTTCAACTCTTGTGAGCCCTTTTCATTCAATTAAAGTGTGCAAACTAATAATAGGAATAGTCAGTTAGCTCAGTCTCCTGTTTTCTTTACAGCCAGGCATTTGTGGTTTACCCAAGTTCATTTCGAATCAGTTTTCTTTAATATAAATGGTGTTCGTATGGCAGAGAACAACTCCATAGGAGAAATGATTAGTTTTTACCAATTACATATATCGATATATAGATATTGATTTTCACTGAAAAGGGACATCTCCATCATTTCCCATCAGGAATTGCCAACAGATAATTAAGGTAACTGTACTCCCCCAGAAAGAAAGTAAAAACAAGAGAGCGGCCAACACTACGTATACGTAATTAAAGACGACTGCCTGCATTGGCCTTGCTGAGTAACCAAAGAAAGTAAATTGCCGAGCCCTGATGAAATTTTCTCTGCAACAAGATCCCTGCCCCCTAGCCATATGGGCGGGGCTGTAGTGGAAATTCAGGATATGCATGTCCTGCAGCTACCAGCCTGGGCCGTCTGCCCTGCGCTGCATGCCAGGTGCGAATACTGGCAATATCGGCAGCATTCATTCATGGATACCAACCGATGGCAAACGGCCGAGAAAAAGGTGAACGGGAAAAGCCGAGCAGTACTCCGACCTGCTCCTGCCGTGTCCTTCGTTCACTTTGTCGTCGGGTACCAGCCCGACGAGGTTTGGGAGCCACTGGAAGGACCCACAGGAATAGCTGCAATGGAAGGCTCTGAAGAGCTTAAAGCCCAGCAAAAGAGAGTGGGAGCGTAACGTTTTTTAAGAGACGCCGGCCCACAAGTGTCCAGGGCCAAAGAGAGCGCAGCTTTGCAGCTTCCTCCTCCAGCTGTATCTCTCTCTCTCTCTCTCTTGCAACGGTTTCTTGCTCAGCAGGCGCCCTGTAGTTTTGAGTTTGTGAAAGCCATTTTTCATTCATACGAACTTACTTTAAATTAATTTTTTTGTGGGGTCATAAATCATTTTTGGCTCTGGACCTACGCATGCTGCTTTTGTATGTAAGCTCGTCCTTATGTTCGTGTGTCCGTATATCGTTCCGCACAAGCGAGGGTGTAAGCTTTTGTATCGTGAATTTGACCCTTTATGTATGAATGAATGTTCTCCAAGTATCTTTCAATACTTTGAAGGAAAATAAAAAAACCTTTCTATAAATCCTCAAAACACTAAAATAATAAGTACGTTTTCAGGTATATAATAACATCCTTTAGTCAACGTGTTTGGGGTCTAAGGTGGGAAGAAGCTTTTGCACTAACAAGCTTTATTTAAAGTGTGAAATACTCCATTTACGAGAATATCAAACATTATTAAAATACAGTTTCTGTGGCACTTTGTTATTTTGTTTTCCATCTAGACCCGACTTTAATACACTTTCTATCATTCAGGATAGCCATAAAAGGGCATAAATGGGCATGGGCTTAGACGAAATTGCTGTTATTTCCAGGGATCGACAATTTTAAAATAACAGTTATCTGTTATCTGTATTATATTCATAACTCTAATTTTTAGATCTCTGACCCAATTAAAAATTAAATGAAATATATAAATATTATATTGGAGTAAAATCCGAGCCCGATCATGCACAACTGTCACAGAACCACTCCGAATTGGCACCCTGTATTTGTGATACTTTCGAAGCTCTGGAAAGAGAAGCTGCGCACATCTTTGGCGCTCTCTTACAGCCTCCGAGTCCGTGGCCGAGGCGAGCTTTCCGGGAAGGGCTTTAAAGCTACCGCCTAAGCCACACAGACAGACACACGTGCCACCACACGGACTTCCAGGCGCTGTGGAGTCGCGAGTGCGAGTCCTGACGACTGGCAAGGACTCGTGGCCCATCTTCCAGCCTGGGGGCTGTGGCATCGCAGCGTCGAACTGGGATGTCGGATGTCGTGTCTGCACAAGGATGTGTCGTGGGATGCTCGGCTGCGCTCGGCCGCCTGTCGTGCCTCGGCTCCTCCAGCGGACTCTGCAGTCACTTCCAGCGGCGCCTGGCTGCCAATGCTGCACAGGCATCGGGCTCAGTTGGTGTTCCGGTTTCGGGTTGTGCTGTCAGCTGCCTTTTGCCTCCAAGCACGGCCGAGAGATTGAGCGACTGAACTGAGCGATTGAACGATTGAGAGTGTGCCAGCAGAGCCGGAGAGTCGCGTCGCGTTGCGTTGCGTTGCGTTGCCCGTGGTCTGCGTCCGCATCCGCATCCTCCGAATCCTTGCCCGCCTTCGCCTCCGCCTCCGCCTCCGTGTCCGTGTGCTCCTCTCCTCTCCTCGCCCATCCGTTTCGCCCCGTTTGTGTGCGTGTGTCTGTCGTCTGTCGCTAACGGTGCGCGCGCGTATAGCTGTGTGAGTGTGCGAGTTAGTGCGTGGCCATGTCTGTGTGTGTGCACAACAATTCTATATATATGTATACGTGTATATACTAATACTAGCGTGCCCACACTCACACAAGCAAAAAGACTGCAAATAAAAAATAGAAATATGTACAACAATTCCAGCAGGTAAACCCATTGAACTAGTCCAGAAATCAGTAATAGTCAAGGGGGCCCAATATATTTTAATTGTTGTGCCTAAAAGTATGCAGTGAATTATGGACCACAAAAGTATTGCAAATAAGGATTGGCATCCTGTTAGGCTCTAACTATATGAACAGACCTTTGTGAAACCCGTGAATGTACAAAACTCAGATATATCTGTGCCTGGAAATTGATATTCCTATTGCTATTCCTGAGAAGAGGAGGTAAAGAAAGACCAAAAACGTTTTGCCTTCTCTCTCTGGCCCAGGACTCGTGTGTGCGTGTGCGTGTGCGTGTTTGTGCCTGTGAAAATTCCATCAGCATCATCATCATCATCGTTGGTTTTATCGTTACCATTTTGCTCGTCCTTGCCTTATTGCTGTACAGATATTTTCGCACATCCTTCCTGCATCTATTCCGCCGTGCTCTCCCTTCGATATTTTGGATTTTTTATTATTTTCGAATTCATTCCCTGGCAAATTGCTAATTGACCATCAAGCAATCAAGATTCAAAATAGAAAGTATCCTTCTGCCACATGTCAAGTGCAACTCTCTCGCTCTCCCTCGCTCATGCTCGCTCTCTGTCCCTCATCTTTGTGTGTGTGTGTGTGTGTGTGTGTGTCTGTATAACAGGTGCCAAAATATAAATGGCAATGGTTACTTTTATGTTCACATTGTGTGGGCGGCCGCCTGTGCCAAAGGGGGTACGAATGAATGAGGCCAAAGGATACTCAGTGACATTGTCAACAAGTGAGAAGTTCCCGATGATTGCATATTAAATAACTTGTGATTAATTCAGATGTATTATTGTCTTCCCCTTTACAGCCATCGACTCGCATAACACAAACAATGGATATCAAAACTAAAACCAAATAAACCCTTTAAAGTTTATATACAAAATTTAATGCTAAGCAATATCTAATTTTATTGAGTGAGAATCGGAAGAATAAAGGAAAACTAAAATTAAAGTTCTAAATGTTCGGAAGGCAACAAGCGCCAAGTATAAGGAAAATACCAAATCAATAAATGAAATCGTGAAACCTTTAATAAAATTTAACTGAATAGATAACTTTTCAAAGTGAAATCCATAAGCCCATTACCGAAAAGATTTTGTAATTAAAATTAACCAAAACTTCCCTTTAATAATGTTTGAAAATGCAAAGGAGGAGCATACTGTAATAGCCATATAAAATATAAAAATATACCAAAATGCAAAACCAGAAAAACTTTTTAATATATATTACAGCAAAATAAACCAATAAAAAAGCTCAACGTGGAAAAGCCTCCTCCATTGGAAACTTATCTCGCCAAACTATTTTGAAATGCAGTAACAGAACTCGAAGTTCTCAACGAGAAACTGAAATACGCACAAGATTTATAAATATTATTACTAACAATAAGCTATAACTTAAGAACCAGCTAACGAAACCACAGTTCAATTGCAACCCCGTTAAGATCGGATATTCCATAAACACTTTGGATAAGCTGAAAGTAAATGTTTCAAGTCGACTCGATACATTTATACGCATATATCAATACTCGCATCTAACTAAATAATAATCATTAACGAACTAAAATAAAATTAATTGCATTACTTCGCTACTTATCAGACAACACAAATTTTTGGAGACCGATTTGATAGAGTATTTGATACAATTATAATACTAACGAACAAGCCGACAACAAGTTCAACACGCAATACAATAAATTAAATATTTATAAACTAATCGATCGCTCAACCAGATCATCTGAATCCTTATATACTGATCAAATAGTCTTTTGATTCTGAACCAACTGGGAAGGAATTTGAAGGTGAGTCTTGCATTTAAAACAATACAAAATACACCAGATTTAGGTTGAACATTCTCTTAAAAATGTTAAAATTATAAATAAGTATATAGAATTACAAATTATGGTGCTCCATATATATCTAGGGCTTTTAAAACTTTTCAAAATTTGTCTAAAAACATGCTATACAATTTGGTACGACCAATTTCAGTGTATAAATGTTTGTTAAAGATTTCAATATTTTCAAAAATTGCATTTTTATACACCTTTTAAACGCGTTTATATAGATATTTTGAAAAAGGGGGTGTGGAACTAAATTCCCAATAATATTATTAATAGAGAAACAAAATTACGAAAATATATTAAAAAAGAAATACCTTGAAGAGCACTGATGCTGATAAGCTTACGGTTCTTAATTTTACTAAAGGACTTTCCTTGTAAAAGATTTTAAAATATCGTGTAATAAATATACAAATGAATTATTTAATATTATTAATAATATTAATTTGTATCTTTTGGTTGACCTGAAACTTATCTACTCTTAAACTAGGACTGTTTTCAAATGTATTTATGTTGACATACACTCTTAAAACTCGCAATAATCACAGAAAATGTGGAGGAACCCTCGCACAACAAGGCCCCATAACCGCAGGCATTATTTTCGCTTCGCCCGCACCCCACGAGGCTTCAGTTGACGTCCCCGTGCTCGGTGCTGGACTTGATTTGCTTTTTGTTTTATTTCTCGGGCAAGCATTTTAAAATTGTTCCATTGACCTTTCGACGACCACACCGACACATTCAAATACACAGCTGGCAAGTGAGTGGGTGGCCGAGAGGCCGGGGGCCGGAGGGGACTGGTGAGTGGTCGGTCGGGCGGTAAGACGTTCTGGCGGCCGGGAGCAAGAGTAATGCCCAAGAGCAAACAAGGCAGCACCCACTCGGAGGACAATTGCCAAATAAATAACTTGAATCTCGCTCCGTCGTCCTTATATTTGCTCCGGTGCCGCGGTTTCGGTTTCGGTTTTGGGCTTGGACTTGATTTTCATTTTCGTTTTCGGGAAAAAACACACAAACACACTCGGCCGCAAGTGCGCACACATTTGGCAGAGGCTGTTGCATAGAGAAAAGAACTGCGGCATCCTGTTTTGTTTTCATCATTTGCACTCGCTGCTCATTTGGCCCGGGCTCTTTTTCATTAATAATATGACACAGTTCACGCTGCATTGTCCCGAGCCCAAGAGCTCCTTCAGCCCGCCGCCTCCTTGCGCTCCTTACGCTCATTATGCCTATTCGAGGCTTTGTCTTCCGTGACCGAGCTCAGACCAAGAAACCCTCCTACGCTCAGCCCCACTCTGAGGCCCAGGCAGCCTCCCCAGCCATTTCCTTTCATCATTCATTCATGCAGACTTCAGCACAGACACACTCCGTGCTCATCAGCAAATACAAACGCAAACATCAAGCCAGCGAGGTGACTAAAACAAGTGCAGCTGAGAGTGTGGTGGATCTAGGGGATATATCCAGGAAGGACGGTTTCAAACTCATTGTTTGTGATGAGTTTAAATCCGAATACGCGATGTTGTTCACATACTTTAATATCTACTTTAAATTTTGGACTCACTTGCAATAACCTTTTTTTTATTTTGGAAAATAGCCTCTAATTCAGATTGTAAACTCCCTTTATCAACAGCCACTGTGCAGGAATACGAATAGAGTATCGCCAAAAGTAATTCACTTCCCGCCGCTCTCATTGTTGCCTTCGCTTTGGCCGGCTATGTCCTTAATTATGTCCCAGCAGCCATGACTGACTGCCATACTGCCACACTGCCAGCTCAAAGGACACGCACACTGGCGAACAGCCTCCGCCCACTCACACAGGGGCATAGGCGTTGCCAGGATCTCGGCAACTGTTACGCGGCGCTCGTGTATGATGACGACGATGTGTCATGTCGGGTTTCAGAGTCCTTGTTGCGCTTGTTTTTATCGCCCTTGTTTGGCCCGTTGTTGATGAGTGTCCTGGCTGCCGTTGCCGCTGTTGTTGCTGGCCATTTTTGGAGTACGCTCTTCTAGTGGGTGTCATGTCCGCTTAGTTGTTGCCGTTGCCTGTGCCTTTGCCTCTGCACCTCGCCGCCGTACTTTGAGGCGACGCCGCTTTGCCTACTGCTTATTTATGTATGAAGGACCTTAAACTTTGCAGCGGATGAAAATGGCCGCAGCCGAGAACTGAGGAGCCCCTGAACCAAATTATATTCGTACTACGCGGCATGTGTCTGTGTGTGTGTGTGTATCTACAGCAAATAGCGTCGCTGCTTTTTAATCACAGCCGGCGACGCAGTTTTTTTGCTTTCAGTTTCACTTTTCCATTTGCAAAAGTTTCTCACGTGTGTCCCCCCCCCAACCCCTTCTTCGTGTCCTTTTTATTTATTTTGTTGTTTTATTTTCCCTCTTTAGGTTTTTGTAGTTGGGACAACTGGCAGCTGGCAGTCCGAAGCACAAAAGCTGAAAAACAATGCTTAATTTTAGTTGGACTTTTCCCCTCAGATGGCTGCGCTTGTTCTATTAACCTTCGCGTCACGAATGAAAAAGAGATTTAAGGTTAACTATTTTCAGTTTCAGTTTCTGTACTTTATTCTTTTTGTTGCCAACTTAATTTTTTCGTAAGTAGGCCAGGCCTTGGGCTGGTAATGGATATAGAAGCAAATACTTGAATAGTTGCAATTTTGTTTCAAATTTGTTTTTTACAAATATATCTTAATTTGAAGACTAACATTGCAACTCTGTTTGTTATATTTTAATATTCTTTATTTTAGTTATTTATATTTTACTTAAACTGGCATTCATACTTCACATGAGATCGACGAAATAGAGTTCCTTCATGGAAACACCTTCCTTTTGCTCCCATAATTTAAGGAATTTTAGTGCTTACTCGAGGATTTGGCTGCTAATCTATAATTAAAATTATTGTCGTATCATTTGGGAGCAGCAAAGTTTCGTGCGACCAAAACTTTGACTCCTCGGAGAGCTGGAGGCGGGCACTCAGGTGAGGAGAGAGGCTTAGCCATGAAATACCTTAACATGCTGCCAGTTAAACTGTCCGTGGCAGGGGAATCCCGACCCCATCAGCCACCTTGGCTTAACCCGGGCCCAAACTGATTCCAGAGGCAGCTACGTGCCTGTGCATTTGAGCAGCAGATGTCACATGGACAGGGGCCAAAGTTTCTGGGGGCCGCCAGCAACTTAGATAAGTTAACAGTTGAGCGAAAGGGGCGCTCCAGGACGAAACGGGGCGGGACGGGACTCGCTTGAATGCCTCGGCGGAGGTTTACCTACGTGAGATAATGCAAATTTATGGCCGGCAATTAGCGAGTCGCGAATCGCAGCCGAAGTCGGGGCAATAACTCAGGGCCCAGAACTTTGACTAGTCCCTGGGCCTAATTGCAGTTGCCGACGTGAGAAATCTCGGCCAGAACCGAAAGGGGCTAGAGCCTCCTCGCAGACAATGCCAAACCGAAATCCAGTTAGCAAGACCTAGCTAACGATTAATTATCTTATGCGGCGCTTCGCATATGTAATGTCGGCAACTGCTCCACTATAAAAAAGGATAAAAGAAAAAAAGTTTATATTTCTTTCACGCCAATTTTAGAGCTTTGAATGTATTACCTTGACACGGAGAGATTACTTCTTGTGTTAATATTATTATAAACGAAATAATGATAATATGATATGAAGAGGTGTTTTTACGAGTGTACAGAAATTTACGCCGCCGGCAGATACAGATACGAGCCGATACACAGATACGGGCCGACTGCCAGTGACACATGCCGGCGACGACAAGTTTGCCGTTTATCTGTTATCCAACAGTTACACTTTGCACAGGCAGGACACCCAGCACACAATCGCAAGCAACCGCTCCGCGCCGTGCCGTGCCGTGCCGTATCTGTATCTGTATCTGTGAGATACACACAAGCAAAGCCAGGCATCAGTTGCAATCTGACTTCAATTCAATTATTTTAGATTAGAATGTGACTGTGTCACACACACTTTTGTCTCTATGTCAGCTGTCATTCATCCGTTCATATGTTCCATAAAGGCGGCCTGCCAGCCAGGAAGGGACGGAACGGGGAGGGGCATCCTGCGGCCCAGGATACGTGCCCTATACGTCGCCTGTTCCTGCTCCTGCATTGACAGTTGCGTTGCCCACACACACACACGTACGTACGAGCGAGCACTCGTGTGCTCCTGAGAGCGCTCCTCTTTTTGGGTTCGCTGGGAATGCGAATGCGAATGTGAGTGTCAATGTGCCCGACAAAACAGAGTCCCAGAGATCCCGACTTGAAACGAGCGTGACAAAAGTAACAAATGTGTAACTGTTCCAGCTCCGATGACGTCAGGCATCCTGCGTGCTAGAATATATTCAAGTGGCTGAAACATTTATGTGTTTCATCCTACTAAATTGAATTGCGCCTGCATGGGCACAGCCAGTCTGTTAATAAATGACCTTTGCCATATTTAGGAATTGTATATCAATGGAGATAATGGTTTACAAGACTAAGAAGGCGTTCCAAGTATAATCAAAAACTTGTTGTTTATCTTTTGATTTATTTACAGCTTAAAGCCAAAGAGTGTTTAAGTGAAATTTGAATTTTTGGTAGAAAGTATGCAGTCGTTGTAGTTTTTAAATTGTATAAAAACGGAATTATTTGAAATCAAAGGTATAGACATTACAAATAAATACATTTTGTATATATGTTATTTATATTTCATAAATAATATTATTCAATACAGAATAGTCCGGGTCATTTAAGAAACGGATTCGTACAGTTCATTAGGTTAAAAATAAACGTGTCACTGTGTGAGTTTAGAGTTTTCTTTTGGTCAGTTGGAGAACAAGCAGGTAAAATTCCAGATGAGCAGGTAGCAAACATAAAAATCAGTTAAGAAAGTAAAAAGAAATATATATATATATGGGTCAAACAGAAAAATAACTTGCATTTTGTGGAGAAGTTGTTTCCAACCATGAGAACCGATAGAAAACATGGAGTATGTAGAGAAACATCACACATAATTCCTTACTAGTAGCGATGATAACTGTATAGCAAAAACGCATACACTGCATGGCATTTGGTTCCGCTTTCTGTGAGTCATATCGGTACCGATTCTCAATGGAAAACAATTGCATCTTTATGTTGCTTCCGACCTTATCAGTGTCTTTATGCGGGCGACTTATGAAGCGGGTATTATGATAGTGGCAGAGGACCGCATAGAGGGCACTGCGATAAACCGAGGCACCAACTCGGCATTGTCTCCTCAATCCGAGGGTGACCTTTGGCAGCGGCTCAGATATGGTAACACTTCGAGATAAAACCACTGACAAGTGCAAAGTTATGGAAAACTCCAAAACGCAAAGCATAAAATTAAATGTGTATAATAGAAATCTTGCAATTTGTTAATAATTATTATAGATGACACCAAGTTAATTTTCATACGGACATCAGTTTTGGTTCCCCAGAAATAGCCTGAATTTTCTCCCAGTGTGGCGAGCAGAGGGTTTATCTAGCTGCGGATGTTGTTGTGACCTATCTGCCTGCCTGCCTGCCTGCGCTCTCCCTTCTGATCCTCCTCGGATAGCTCTCAAGCCAGCGCTGTCTGCTGCCTGCATTCAGTCCTATGCCGACAGTGGTGGCGTTCACACAAGTCAACGTGGTAGCGATGAAGACAGTTTTGGCCCTTGTTCTGCTGCTGAGTCCAGTCCTGGCGGCTGGCCTGCGGGATAATTACTGCGAAAGGAATGAGACCGTTCGTACTTCTGTGCCCGTGACCAAGCAGCGGACCATTGTGAAGCCCCAGTCCAAGTGGAAGATATGGAAGAAGACCGAGAAGACGACGGAGATCTACGATTCGGTGGAGGTTCAGGAGACCCAACGGCTGGTCAGGGAGTGCTGTCCCGGCTACTTGCCGGTGGAGTCGGGCCTGTGCGAACCAATCTGCAGTCGTGCCTGCCCCGCGCACGCTAGCTGTGCCGCCCCCGATCGCTGTGAGTGCATCGCTGGCTACGTCTCGGCCAGGAACCACCAGGATGGTGGGCACTACTGCGAACCCATCTGTGAGGCGCCCTGTCACCCGGGCGCCCAGTGTGTGGCCCCCAATACCTGTGCCTGCCGCGAAGGCTACACCCAGCTGCAGCCAGCCGGGGACGGTGTTAGCGGCGACTGCGTGCCCACCTGCAAGGTGGGAGGGTCTTGTGAGAACGGCAAGTGTGTTGGCGTGGAGCGCTGCCAATGCAACGCAGGATATCGCTGGGATAAGGCAGAGGAGCGCTGTGCTGTAGTGAGCGCGGAATCCATCTCGGAGAAGGACTCGGAGGAGAGTACAGAGGCCCCAAGTACCACTTCCACGGCGGCCTTCACCGCCCTAGAGTGTCCCGAGGACTTTGTGTTATTCCAAGGAGAATGCCGGGAGAAGCAGTTCGAGAGCAACGAGGCCTCCTGCTTGACGACCGGCTGCGGTCCACACCAAACCTGCCTGGAGTCCGGCATCTGCAACTGCTCAAGAGGATACGTCCCGGACGAGACCACCGTGGAGGGTGGGTCGCTCAGCTGCCAGCGCACCTTGTTCGACCAAATACTGGGCTTGAACCAGGCCACCGACGACGAGGATGAGCTGAATCCCTGGACCATCCCCATCATCGGGGTGGCCAGCGGATCCCTCTTCGTGCTCCTGATAGTGGGCTTCATCGGAGGGAAGCGGTATCGACGGGAGCGGTCAGCGGCAGCCAACAAGGAGATGGAGTGCCAGTATTCCCAGAAAACCGTCGACGTGGACGAGTGGGTGCCATAAGGTGGCCCCCAAGAGGTGGTTCCCTCTACCTTTGGGCTGTGTTAGATCATCTTGGATTGTTAGTTTTAAAGTCATCTATGTATGTATGTGTTTGAATAAATAATATAAACTTAAATAGTCGTAAAGTGTTTTCTTAATATGTTCAAGGATCTATTTGTATATTAGTTCATGTATTCATGTATCTGTGACATTAATATAATATTAATATCGCTGAGAAATTTAAACAGTTTATGACACATTTCACTTCATTAGGTCGCGCTTCTTTTGGAGGTCCCTCAGCAGTAATATGCCCTCATACCCCGATTACTGTCGTGCATATAAAATGAAAATTCATTAGTATCATTCGGGCGGGAAACTCGGTGCCACAGCAAACGAGATAAATTGCAAATGCTCGTGAAATACTAAAAAATATAAAATCAAAAAGTATAGATGTTGATATAGTGTTCAAATTTCAACAACAAAGCCATATATAAATCAAAGATAAAGATATAATAACCTTGGCAAATATTACTCTATCTAAATCTATGATTACAAGAAAGGAAGCTAACTTCGGCATGCCGAAGTGTGTATACCCTTGCAGATTGCAATTTGATCATGAAGAATTTTTTTCTAAAAATTTATTGTAGGGCAGCTATATGATATAGTTGTCCGATCCGGCCCGTTCCGACATATATAGCAGTGAGAGTATATAGAACACTATATGCAAAGTTTCATTCAGATAGCCTTAAAACTGAAGGACTAGTTTGCGTAGAAACGGACAGACGGATAGACGGACGGACAGACGGACATGGCTAGATCGACTCGGCTGTTGATGCTGATTAGGAATATATATACTTTATAGGGTCGAAAAGGTCTCCTTCACTGCATTGCAAACTTCTAACTGAAAGTTTAATACCCTGCAAGGGTATAAAAAGGACACACGTTTAAAATGTACCCATGTTTATTGAGACTTGATAAAGTATCAGAATGTTGGTCTATTCATTATCCATTTGGAATACCGATGAATTCAGTACAAGGAGGCATTCGCTACTGGCGAATAATCTTTGATCCGAGAAGGACTTGAATCTTAAATTCGAATGCTTATGTGACTTCATTTTAAATAGACGAACGCACTTGTGTGTCTGTGTCTGTATCTGTGTTTGTAACTTTCCTGTGCGAGGTGTATCCCGAAGCGGACTATGGATCCTTTGGTCATAATCGCTGCACATTAATACGGGCCTCGCACACAGGACACCGAGCAGAGCTTTAAGGCAAACACTGAGAGCAGAGCCGGGAACTGAGACCGGAGAGAAAAGGACTGAGAGAGAGAGAGAGACCAACAAAATGGGAGAGCCGAGAAAGTGCGTGAGAGCGTATAATGTAGCGTTCCAATTTTATGGGTAAGAAGGAGATGTGGCAAGCAGAAGAAGCAGAGCGGCCAAACCAATAACCATTCTCCCTTTTCAACAACAAAAACAGCAACAACAACAACAGAGGGAATACTTAAAGCTTCTTTAATTTTTATGTTGTTTTCTCCTCTCTCTTCTTGAGTGTGTCTGTATCCCTCTATCTATGTGTTTGCCTCAGCCATTCTCTTTGATTGCTTTCGCGCATATCTGTGTGTGCGTGTGCGAGTGCGAGTGCGATGGGGTAACCTTTGCTGGGCAACATCCTTGCGTGGGAAGTTGCCCAAGGACATGGCCTGGCTCAACTCAACTTGACTCAACTCGCCGGACTAGCCAGCCTCCGCTTTTCCTTCTGCCTTGTTTTTCGCCCACCCTTCGCCCCGTTCTCCACATTTTATTTCATTTTTCGCATAGTTGCTCTTTCGCTGCCAAGTTATTTATTTATTATTTGTTGCTCTGCTAAAGTTGTTTTAGCTCTGAAAATAAAAAGTGCCTGCCAACAGTTGGGCCGCAGCCTTGATAGACTAGCTGGTGGAGGAAGAGGTACTAGGTAAACTACCCAAAAACTGTAATAAACGAATTTTAAAAATAGCTACCTCAAGTACTTCTCGCTGGTGGCGTTTTTCCATAGTTTTTAGTCAACCCTTTCATGGGTCGTTCGCTGACAGGATTAAGAGGCTGTGACACAATTACGCGAGTGAAGTCGGAACTCAAGCACCTGGAGATGCTTTTTGTTCAATTTTGCCGAAACTGAGCTCGAGAAATTGTCGCACAGCTACCATAACAGTCCTAATATCAAGCACCTTCACAAATAATCCAGTAAAAGCCCCAAAACTCTAGAAGAGTTTTTCTAATGACTAAACTTGCATATTTAACAGTGAATTTTAACTTCACCGAATTCTTTATTAGCATCACGAACCGAAGTTAACTAGTGTTGTCCTTCTTAGCATTTCTGCTAAATTTAAAAAAGTTGACACCATTCTTATCTTTTACATGCAAATAAAGTTGGTTTTAAAATTTGGCGCCTTGACAAATCCTGAAAAAGCTATACAAGTGAATTTCGGTTAAAAGTAAATTTAAAATTAAAAAAAAAATCAGATAATAAACATAGGAACAATAAAGTTGGAGTTCTAATTTGTTTTGGCAGCATCAATGGATGTTGCTCAACATGTTCCTAGCAACATTTCTCGTTATTTGGGAGTTGCTAAACATGTTCCTAGAAACATTTATCTTCATTTCTTCTGACTTAAGATTTTAATTTAAAATTTAATTTAATTTAAAATGTAATACGTGTGAACATAATTACAGAACGTGAATTAGCCATTTCCATGTTTATTTTAATTTCACACTGCATATTTTCTGTACAGGATATCTTCAGGTCGATCATTGTTTTTAATTACTATGAAATTTTTAGATCAACTCAACCATGTTTGGCGTTAATATTTGTTATTTAAAATACTTAACACTTCTTTCTGAGGTTGAAAAGAATGTAAATTTAATAATTAGACTGTCAAATGAAGGGAGTAAAGTGTCTAAAGAAGTAAAACAAATTTATTAATACAAATGATCATTCTGAAAAATCAGTTCTAACTTCTTACAAATTCTTGTCTAGAAATGTCTAGTTTTTGGTAATACTCAAGCTGATAGAACTGCAAGGATAACTTACCATATTCCGTTTCCTCTTTAGTTCTCCCCCATTATCCCCGCTTTTATGATACTATTTCAAGATATTTTCTTACTTTATTTTCTCGGCCCTTTGTGATTTCACTTAAACCAGTTAAGACACGGCTGAGTGAGACATTTGGATCTGCGCTGGATGTTTGCAAGGGGTAAAACTCTAGGAATCGAGTTTATGTTTGCCACTTTCTTTTTTATGGACAGTAGTACCACGCAGGAATGAAGAAGATTCAACAAGCCGGAGTCCTCACTCAGCGCCCAGCTCCTCCTAGCGGGCGGTCTGCAAATTATTCAGTGTGTACTTGTTGATGCAGCTCTCGAATAGCACTTTGCCCCCAAAATCCCAGCCCCTTGTCGCTCTGCAGCTTCTGCAATAATGCATTGTCGGAAAGTAGGTCGCTGCAGGTTAGCTCGGATGCAGTTGTTGCAGGGCCCGTGCCTCTGCTGCTCGGAAAAAAACGCAGGCAGCTGCCATCAAATATTAACCACTAGTTGATCCTGTGCAATTTATGTGTAGAGATGTATGCCACGCCCACCTAATTGGGCGGGGAGCGAGTGAAAAGTGTGCGGAGCTCGGCTGAATTTTAGGACTACACGTAGCAACCTTATGCTGAAAGGGTCCTGGGGGGACTTCAGAGGGAGCTCAGGGGGATGCGGGGCGTGGGCGTGGCGAATGCAACTCCAGCTCGCCACTTTTGCCGTCACGCCCAGTTTAACGGCAGCAACAACACTGGTGACCTATTTTTCTCAATGGAACGCAGACTTTGAAATTATTTACAGCCCCAACGAGCGAGAGAGGGAGAGAGAGAGAGAGAGAAAGGGACAGTGCGGCGCAAAGAAAGAGAGGGCGTGGGGGCCGGCGAAAGAGAGGGATGTGCAGTGCGTGCCATATGTGCAATAATCACGAAACGCAGCTTTTCAGCTGCCTCGTCATTTTGCAAGCCGTGCTCCCAGCCCGCTTAATTGTCGCATAGAGATGACAGCCCATTCCGCTGACACAATCAATACCATCTATAGTCGCCAAATGGTTCGAAAATCTATTGTTATTATTCCATGATTACGCAAAGCATAGTTCACGAATTCATTTTACGAATTGTGTGCAACAGCATTTCATGTATTCGTTTACAGACGGAGGTTTACTATTAGGCCTTTATGCAAGGTTTACTTGTCGAATACAGTTGGTATCTCTGATTGTTGCGATTGTTTATTTCGTATTTCGGTATTTATGAAACATAGTTAATTAATTTAGTTCACGAATTGGTAAAAAAGTGTGTCTATAATCAGCATTTCATGTAATCGCTAGCAAGCGAAAGTTAACTGTGTTTATGCGAGGTATAAATTTTCGATAGAGATGGCATTTCATTCGGGGCACAATAATACTACTAGTCATAGTTGTCAAAGACAACCACTATGTTTATGCGAAGCATAATTTATGAATTTACATCATGAACTAAGAGAAATAGGGCATTATTGATACAGGGACTTACGGAAATTGAGAAATACATATAAATGAAATGATATTATAACTCTAAATAAATACTTGGAGAGTTTCCAACTAGAATTAAACCAATTAAAATTGCATGAAAATGGAAGTGGAATTGCAGATGTACTTATGATTGATTTAATTATTTGATAAATTAAAGGACTTTTGGTTCTTGTTCACTAATACACAGCAATACACAGTGCGGAATTTCTGTTAATTTAAATCCCTTACACTCGATTTTGTCCCTTTTTTGTGTTCACGTATTCAAGAACTCACGAAATTCATGGTAAGCATTGTCAAGCTGCGGCAAGGCCTCATTTCTTGTGGATGCCGCAATTAGAGGAAGCAGCGCCAGCACTCGCTCCTCTAATGCACATCCTGAAGTACGTTAATAAGTCGCGCTGCGAACTTCCAAAGGGAAATTCTCATAAACTGAACCGCACTATTATTTGCGAGCGGAGCGTCGTCGTCTGACTTTCATGAACTAAAGCCCACACCTACATAAATTTTGTATTTGTTTGTGCACTCGTACTTTATGCTAAAATATTTCTGCGCTCATGGCTGACCTAA